CGGACGCGGGCTGGGCCCCACACGTCCATGTGGAGCGTCTGCAAGGGAGCAGTCGTCGGGGGAAAGGAGGAGGAGTGAGGAGCGGCGCGCTGCCGTCCCTCAACACAGGGAATACAGGGAGGAGCAGGCGAGTCGGGAAGGGGAGGGAGCACCCTGGGAAGACCAGCAACAAGGTCCCGCTTGTGCATGGCCCGAAGGCGCTGCACAGACGGGTGACCAAGGCGGTGGTGCCAAAGGACAGTCTCATGCGCCAGAGAGCGACACGAGCAGGGGGCGGACAGCTGACCTGACGCAGACGCAGACGCAGACGCAGCTACCTGAGGGGACACAGTGGTCAGTGTGTAAAGGTCCGACCCCGGCTCCCGAGTGAAGGTAGCCAGGTGGCGACCCGTCCGAGCACACGTGCAGTGTGTCACGCGCTCGTAGGCAGGGGTGAACTGGTGAACACCCCCGTCCTGGAGCGCACTACCTGCCACCAAGTTCGTAGAGAACGAGGGGAGGTAGAGACCTGACAGCGTGCCGGACGGGACCGCCGGACAAGGAAGGACAGTGGAGGAGGTCGCAATGACCGGACCCCCAGAGGGGTCAGCAAGGGAGACAGCAACTGGCCGAGCGAGTGGCTCAAGGACAGTGCGGTCACGAAAGAAGGAGCGAGAAGCACCTGAGTCCAGTGTGAAGGTGTGCAGTGCTGCAGTCGACTCAGTACCAGGGGGCACGGACGCACGAGCACCTAGAGCAGCGGCCTCACCAGGACCTGTGGGAGCAGACGCACTAGCACCTAGAGCGGCAGCCGGACTGGCCTGAATGCCCGGGTCGGGCGGAACACGCAAGTACTGAGCACCCTCTCCACTAATAGACATCGCATACATGGCAGTGAGAATAGCATCAAAGTCTAAAGCCCAAATATCAACACCCCTCTTTTCCAGATCAGCCCAGCGCGGCAGCTCAGTGGCAGCAGGAAACTGAGTGCGCCACGCGTCGTTAAGGCGCGCGAAGCAGCGCTGCGTGGGGTGCGGCCTCCCACACTGCTGGCCGCTGCAGTCACCTGTGCGAATGACGTACGTGCAGGTAACGCTACGCTGCGCATACCACTCACGGGCGGCCTGAAGCGTCGGGGCGGGCTGCTGACTCTGCCCTCCGCCAGTGCCTCCACGACCACCACCCCCACCGCCGCCGCCCCGGCCACCTCCACCCCTGCCGCCGCCACGACCACCTCCGCCTCCGCTGCCGCCTCCACCACCACTCCCACCGCTGCTGTCTCCTCCCCCACTGCCGCCACTAGTCTCCCCAGCCGCGCCTCCACTCCCACCGCCTCCACCCCCACCTCCTCCGCCGCCACCCCCACCCCGGCCGCCCTTGTTCCTGCGGCGCCCGCTCGAAGCAGACGCGGTCCCGACCTTCTCAGCACCAAGAAGGTCGACAGCAGCAGCAGAGGCGACAGAGGGGAGGAGGGGGGAAGGGGAACACCCCTCAAAGAACGGGGTGCGGGGGTCGCCACGAGAGGTGCCTACAGCGACTATGCTCGCCTCGGCTGCAAGCAGTTCCTTCTCGAGGAGGGCAACAGTGAGCTCAGTGGGGGAGCGAGAGAGGAAGTGGTCCCTGACTGCGCGCAGAGAGTCAGGGAGGCGGGTGACGATGTGGTAGAGAGTGATCCAGAGCGGGGGGGGGTTGCTAGTGAGAAACTCGGCAGGCATAGCAGCGCGAAAGCGGGCCTCACTAGTCTTAAGGTGGGTGATGAGGTCTGCGACAGTGTGAAAGGAGGCTAGGTCGGGGAACAGGTAGGGGAGAGTGAGGCGGCCTAACGTGGCAGAAGCGGGTGAGGAGTAGCGGGCAACGACAGCTTTGTACAGGTCCTTAGCAGTCTTGCACTGCCCGAAGTGCTCGCGCTCGTCTAGCGGCAGGGAGTTGCGAATAGCAAAGCGAGTGTGCGCATCACGGGTCTGCCACTGGGAACGCAGAGTGCTGTCAGCAGTCGAGTCAGGGGCAGTGGCATGGCCTAGGGCGTGGTCGTACAGTGAGATATCTTCCTTGGCAGTGAGCTGTAGGAACAGGTGCAGGTCATCGAGCCAGGTTTCGAACTTCACTGGACGGCCCTCGGCATCGAAAGCTAGAACTGGCGGACTAGCCATAGTGACAGTAGCAGTAGGAATCAGGCCGCTGGAAAGGTGTGCGGAGGGTCAACGGGGCCGGCGGGGCCGCTAGGCAAGGCGCGGGCGGGGTCGACTGTCCGTAGTGGCACACGAGCGGTAGTAGTAGGTATAAGGTAAACAGTAGGAACGAGGCCGCTGGGAGACTGTGGGCAGTGTCAACGGGGCCGGCAGCAGCGGCAAACGAGTGGTAGCGTACGGGCGGCAGCAGCAGTGGCGCACGGGCGGCAGCAGCAATGGCGCACGGGCGGCAGCGGCTTTGGCGCACGGGCAGTAGCGGCAGTGAGCACGGTAATGGCGGCCGCAGTAGCAGCACACGGGCGGCAGCGGCGGTAGCGCACGGGCGGCAGCTGCAGCGGGCGGCGGGAGTAGCGGTAGCGAGCGCACGGGCGGGAGCTGCAGCGGCGGCGGCAGCGGCAGTAACGCACGTGCAGCAGCGGCAGCGGCGCACGGGCGGCAGTGGCGGCGGCACAGCAGCGGCAGCGACAGTGGGCGGTGCGCAAGCAGCAGCGGCAGCAGCGTACGACAGCGGCAGCGGCAGTGGCGTACGGGCGGCTGCGGGTGACGGGCGGGCGGCAGCTGCGGCAGCGAGCTGCGGGCCTGCGGGGCCACGGCGGGGTGCGCGCGAGCAGCAGGGGCCGCGCGAAGGGCTGACGGGCCGCGTGCGGGCGACTAGCGGGCCACGCGCGCAACTAGCGGGCCGCGCGCGCAAGAAACAGAGCCGCGCGCGCGAAAAAAAAAAGGACCCGCGCGCGGGTAGCTAGCGGGTCGCGCGCGCGCGGTAGGGAAAGGCGCACGAGGGCGCGAGGCCTTAAGGGGCCGTAAGAACCGAGGCGCTCTAAGGCGCAGGTAGGTAGGTAGGTAGGTAGGTAGGTAGGTAGGTAGCGGTGGGCCCTAAGAACGGTCCTAGCGAAGGACCTGCTCTGAAACCATGTCAGAATGAACGGACTGGAATGATTGAACTAACAGAGAAATCAGTACAAATAGCAAACCCTAGAATTGTGTACCCCATATAGGCTAACCCACTGTAGCCTAACAAACGCAACATATATAATGTTTGACATCGAAAACCCTCGGGAGGAGGGTTTGGATCAAAGGAGAAGGATTGGGCCAACAAGGGTCGGATCGGAACGAGTGGCACTGCCGCAACGGTAGTAATGGCCGAAGCCGCCGCACCCGAACTATTTCTCGTGCGTGGCGTGGCGCATCGACTCGCGGGGCCATCAAGAAGCTGCAGCGGGACGGTGGGGACGCCAGCGCGGCGGTGCCCTCGGATGGCGGGTGCTACGATCAGACAAAAACATCTCCTTTGGGCTCTTCAGTCAACTCAAAAGTCATTTCGAAGGAGGGTGAGGACGCCAGCACGGCGGTGCCCTCGGAGGGGGGGTGCTACGTTCAGACAAAAACATTGTTGGAGACGATCCTAAGAAACATCCCCCTTGGGTCTGTTTTGTTGCAACATCACGCCATAGAACAGAACCAGCACGAGAAGCGAGGGACAAACGAAGTGGGAGTAGAGGTTAGGTGAGACCTTCGCGTAGGAGAAGGTTTCGGTCCGGTTCGGTAGTTGTTGAGATGGTTGGAAGCGGCGGCGAGGTACGGCCTTGGCTTGCGTGGGCCTGGCTGCTGGGCGGACTGAAGGAGGCGGCGGGCAATTGGGACTTGGCTTGCATGGGGGTGCCTTGTAACAAACAACCAACTTCGCAACAAGCGACCGAAAGGCGAATTTCCGCGACTGTGGACGACGTTATGCGGCTATAATTCGTAACAGTTCTGTTGGCGCGAAGGGGAACATGCGACCATCTGACACCTGGCGAGATCTTGGGAAAATATGCCGCTAGATATATACAGTAGCCTACGTTTATAAATTTTGCGGTAAAAGAGAAGCGGGCACATCAACATATTCTCTTCACACAGCAACAACCTGGTGCCGTCAGTCAAACACCCCAAGCAGGGCCCTTGATATCAGGGTAAAATACCCTGATTACCCTGATTTCAGGGTTGACATAACCCCCTTGCCCTGAAAAATCAGGGTCTAAGTTTTTCAAGCCCTGAGTTTTCAGGATGTCTGTTTTATATCACCCTGAGATTTCAGAGTGGTGTAGACCTGCCTGCCCTGAGGCGTCAGGGTTCCTATATGGCGTACCCTGAAACAGTTACACTATGCGCCTAGGGGGCCGGTCCTTGATTTCCGAGATTTGGCGCCGGAAACATGCGAGTCGCCCACCACCACTCACATTGACGACAAAATGGCCCACATGGGGCAACATACAGGGATGCGGCAGGCGCGACTGCCAGTTACAGTACCCCCTTCACACCCACCACTAAAAAAATGCCCTGAAGTTTCAGGGTTAAGTTCTGGAATGCCCTGAGAAAGCAGGGTCCCCCTAGGGACCCTGCCCTGAGGAGGACACGCATTTTTGAGCCATGCCCTGAGGGCCCAGGGTCCCTAAAAATGAATCTGAGGCCCTGACCCCAAGAGATCACTCACCCATTAGCTTTGTTATAGTAGGCCTTGCCATATGAAACCACTACCGTACTTCCAGTGTGAAGTGAACCATTATAAGGAGGCGAGAAGTGGGCACAACAACCTGAACTCTTCATGTAGCAATAAACAACCCACTCATACACGAGGCTCTACGGAATAAAATCCTTATTACCACCATAATCGACCAGAGTGGAGTGGAGCTAAACTCAGCTCATCTTCCCTTCACGCAGCAACAGCCTAGTCATACACCCTAACAGGCTCGCCCAGGCCTCTCAAAATCCCCTAATCTCTTCCACAGCCTCCTCGCTCCTTCCCATGATCACCACAAACCCTCTCCCTCCTGCCCCTGCCGCTTCATCCTCCCTTCACACAGCAACAGCCCAGTCATACACCCTAACAGGTTCCCCCATGCCTCTCAAAATCCCCTTTATCTCCTCCGCAGCCTCCTCGCTCCTTCCCATGATCATTGCAAACCCTCCGCCTCCTGCTCCTGCTAGCTTTGCTCCACAACTCAGATGCTTCACAGCAGCCAATAGCGCGTCGACATGTGGATTGCTACAGTGCGGGTCGAGCTCCTGGTGAAAGTCCCAGGTGTGGGAAAGAACGCGCCCTAGAAGTTCGAGATCGGCGGTTGAGATCGCGCGGCGGCCGATCTCGGCGAGGTCTGTGAGCCGTTGGATGGTGGAGATGAGGCGAGTGTCCCGCTGCAGGTACCGTGTTACCACGTTCTTCAAGACGTTACGCGCCAAACGCACCTGGGATTTCAAGAAAAGGGGTTCAACAGACGTAATGCACACGTGAGGCGCTTCAAAAGTGGGGGTCCCTCTGCAGGTAACGGGTTACCACATTCTTCAAGACGTTACGCGTCAGACACACCTGGGAATTGTTAAAGGGTGAACATAAAGTAGTAAAGACACATATGCAGCATCCCAAAAGTGGAAGGCTTGCTGCAGGAAACGGGTTGCCGTGTTCTTCAAGATGCTACGCACGGGCTTAGAAGAAGCAACAGCTGTGAACAGAAGCATACAGGCCTCAAAACTGCAACGAAGACTTAGATGTTCTGCTGCAACTTGGGAAATGGGGGTAAAGTACTGGGAGGGTCGCTGCAGGGAACAGGGTGGGTTACATGAGGTGTTCTCTTTCTCAAGGTGTCATGAGGTGGATGGATGTATCATGGACGAGAATGAGCAAGAGGTAGACATGTGCAATGTACCGAGTCGAGTAAAACTCGACTCGGTCTGGGCCAAAACTCGACCGAGTTCGAGTTCGAGTCGGGTGAAACCCGGTCGAGTTTTTTTGCCAAGGTTCTGGACTCGAAACTCGGTTGTTTAAGGGCGAGTTTTAAAAAACTCGACCGGGGCATTTCATACACTCGGTCGAGGCCTAGTTAAACTCGACTCGGGGGGAGGGGGGGGAGGGGATACATCATGTAAAAGCTGGAAGTGAGGCTTCACCTGGTCCTCCTCCTCCACCCCTCCCGCATGATCGCCACGGTGGGTTCCTCCCACCCCCCCTTTTCCGCCCTTGGGGTTCTTACTTGAAAGCTGCTTGAACTTCGCCATGCTAAATCTGTAGGTCGACCGTTAAATTAATAGATAGTAGTGGGTCCTCCTCCTCAAACCCTAATCGAAACCAGCCATACAATAAAATCGCGTCACTAACTATGCGTGAACCTAGAACTACGTTGCCCCTATGACGATCGTAAGTTTAAGAAGAAAAAACAGCCGTGCGTTTGGCTGGTTAGGCACTGGGAATTACTGACGACTTGTTGGGGAAGGGGTCTAACTGAAATCGCGATCTGAAAATGGACCCGCCATATTTCAAATTTCGAAATTTGTATGCCAATGTCGCGACGAGTTTTCCGTAAACTCGTCGAGTCCAAAAAACTCGTCGAGTCTAGAAAAAACTCGCCTTGGGGGCCGAGCCTAGACCGAGTTTTTTAAAAACTCGGCGGGTATAACTCGACTCGGCCCGGTCGAGTTTTTTCAAAGGGTAATCACACTCGACACTCGACCAGTACCGAGTCCCCCGATCGAGTCGAGTCTGGAAACTCGACTCTTTGCCGATGTCTAGCAAGAGGGCTCACCTGGCCCACAAACACAACCACAAGGCGTTGCTGCAGGGCAGAGCGGAACTCGGGTATTAGAGGCAGGGGATCCACTACAAGACGAATGGGGCGGGTGGGCAGGCTGGTGGTGCATTTGACTCCTGGGTACAGCCCCCCTACTTGGTCCTGCCACCCTCCCCCCGTGCCCATCCTCTGCTCCTGCAGCAGCACCAGCCGGCTCACTTCCTCGTCCGTCACTTCAGGTGCTTCCTCTGTTGCCTCAGGTGCTTTCTCAGGTGCTTTTGCGGGTGTTCTCTCTGTTGTCTCAGGTGCCCCATCTGTTGCTTTAGGTGCTTGCTCTGCCCCGCTCCTTCTCCTCCCTCCCCCTCTGACCAGCAGCAGCAGCGCTCGCACCAAAGCAGCAGCCACTACACTGCTCGTACCCAGACCACTGCCCCTTGGAACATCCGCCCATGTTCGGATATGCAGGCCCACACACGAGGAGGAAGAGGAGGAGGGGGAGAGGAGGGTGGAGATGCGGGTGACGAGGAGGGCGGCCTTGACTACAACGAAGGGCTCTTGTGGCGAGAGGTGGGTGGGGATGGTGGCGGGGTCGGGTATGTGAAGAGAAGCCCCCGAATCGTCCTCCATTAGAACACCTGCGGAGGGAGCAGGGTGATGGGTGGGTGGTAGTACAGGAAGGGTTGAGGGGGTGATATTTCAGTCAACACTGGGTCGGGGATGTGGAGGGACGCCCCCGAATCGTCCTCCATTAGTACGCCTGCAAAGAGAGGGCAGAGAGTGGGCAGGTTGCACACGGTTTGAGGTGCCGCAGAGGGAGGATGTGGAGCGGAGCGGAGCAGTGCAGCGATTGTTTCTGCTACGGTACCTGCCGACAAAACACCGTGGTTGCCCTCCTTAAAAGACCTGGGAAGGGGGGCAATGGCTGTGGGGGTTGGTAGGTAGCACAGGGTTGGGAATGGGGTGCCACAGAGGTCCTACAACAACCACACTGGATGTGGAGTGAAGTTCTGCTTCATGGCTTCTAGAGCTTCAACTTCTAGAAGCCAGCCATGAAGTCGAAGGACAGAGTTGGCTTGGGTTTGAGCGAAGCTCTAGAAGTTGAAGCACTCACCAGGCTCCTTCACAGCAGTCACAGTGGCTCTCGAAGGCCTCCTTCCCTCTAAAAGCACAGCCATGTTCAGCACCGTTCTGCACCGCTCTAAGATCCATGGAGGCGTGATGTTGCAACCATGTCCCAAGGCTGTTCCTTCATGATCATTCCCTTCCCTTCCTTTCACTCACCAGGCTCCTTCACTACAGTCACAGTGGCCCCTACAGGCCGCTTCCCTTCCAGCAGCACCGCCATGTTCAGCACCGTTCCGCACCGCTCTAGACTCCAGGGAGGCGTGTCGCTCCACCCGCCTGCTATGTCCAGTCTCACTGGTAGGGTTACAGTTACAGTGGCGCCAAGGGGTAGTGCTGCTGGGAGGGGGAGGGGATGAGAAGCGAGGATACAGTGAGAGAGGGGTTGAATGAAAAGGGAGGAGAGGGAATGCTGTGGGAAACAGCTCACTCCAGGAAGGTGTGTCGCTCCACCCGCCTGCTATGTCCAGTCTCACTGGTAGGGTCACGGTGACAGTGGCGCCAAGGGGTAGTGATGAGGTTGGAAGGGGAGGAGTGTCGCACCACCAGCCAGCCTGCCATATGCAGGTGCACTGGCAGCGTTACAGTGACTGACAGTGTTGACTTTTGAGTCGACTGAAAAGTCAAGTCAGTGCACTGGCAGCAGCGTAACAGGCACTGACACTGGTGTCTCGAGGCAGGGAACATGTCCTTGCTAGTTGTACCCTTCCATGCTCCATGTCAGCACATACCCAAGGGCTGACATACCTGTATGACTTTTGAGAATTCTCAAAAGTCATACAAATATGTCAGCACATACCCAAGGACTGACATACCCTTTCGCACTGGTAGCATCACGGTGACACCGTGACACTGGTGTCGAGAAGGCAGGGAACATGTCCCTGCCAGTTGTTAACTGGTACACCTACAACTGGCATCACCCAACATGTGCCATGTAAGTGTAAGTGTCGGCATCACCCATTTCCTGTATGTCACTCACACTTACATTTGCCATGTCGGCGTGTACTCAAAAAACTAACATACCCTTTCGTTGCATACTGGCATCCATCCATATCATATTTCTCATCATCTCTCCCCGCCCCTCCCATTCCCACAGCTACTGCTGCCTGCTCAGCCACAAACCTCCACACCCCCTCTTCCAACCCCTCTTCTTCACCACACCACGTGCTGTTTGCCAATTCCACACTTCCATGCACCATGTCAGCACATACCAAAGGGCTGACATGCCCCTTGGTTGCATGCGTTGACATCCATCCACATCTATCACTCACGTTGCATTTCAGTCAAGTCTTGAGGTGAATCAAACTCATCATCTCTCCCCTCCCCTCCCATTCCCACGGCTACTGCTGCCTGCTCAGCCACCGCCCTCCACACCCCCTCCTCCAACTCCTCTTCGCCACCCTCCCTCGTCCTCCTCCTCTCGTTCTTTCCCTCCCCCCCTCTCTCCCCCTCGCCCTGCACCCCTCGTGATGCTCTAACCACGTCTAGCTTCGCTTGTAGGACACGGCTCATAGGCACACCCCCCCACTGCTGCTGCTGCTGTTGCTGCTGCTGCTGCTGCTGCTGCTGCTGCTGCTGCTGCTGCTGCTGCTGCTGCTGCTGCTGCTGCTGCTGCTGCTGCGCCTGCTCCCCCTCTTTTGATGCGTTTCTTGCCCCCACAGAAGGAAAGGATGCTACAAGCTCCCAACACAACTCCCGGCCTCCTCCCCTCCTCTCCCTCTCTCTGCAGTCACCAACATGACCGTTCGCATTGCCCCAACCTGCTCTTCTGCTATTGCTGGTTGAGCTGGCGCTCTTGTGAGAACCTGCCACGTGGCAGGTGCTGCTGTGTGCGTCCACCACGTCAGCAAGCAGCAGCTGACGTGTCAGAGATGCTAGATTGCGACCCAGGGACCCTCCAATAGAGCTAGCACTTGCAGCAGCAGCACCACCACCACCACCAGCACCAGCACCAGCAACGGTCGTATCAACGCCACCAGCAGCAGCACCCGTACCAGCAGCAGCACCCGTACCAGCAGCAGCACCCGTACCAGCAGCAGCGGCCGCAGTTGCACCACCAGCAGAAACAGGTGAGGCATCACCACCACTTATTGCAGCCCGAGCAAAGGCAGTGAGCAGCACGGATCGACGGTGCAGAGCAGAGGAGAGCAGCGCAGGGAAGTCGATCCGACGGTGGAGGAGAGCCAGCGATGTGCGGTCAGATCTCCGCCATGTGTCAGAATACTGTTGGCTGAGAGCTTGACTGGGAGAGTGACCGGGAGCTTGGGTGAGACTAGGAGCGAAGCTTCCAAGAAGCCACATGGCAAGACGAAGGCCGGTGCCAGTGGGGAGGATGGGGAAGAGGAGTGCGTTCCAGAGATCCTGCTTTGGTTGAACCGGGCGACCTTGGTAGTCTGTATTTGAAAAATGGAGGGAGACAGTGGACAGAGAGAAAAGGGAGGATGGGGAAGAGGAGGGCGTTCCAAAGGTCCTGCTTTGGTTGAACCGGGCGGGCTTGGTTGTCTGTATTTGAAAGCGGGTAAGGGGCAGGGGGACGTTAGTGAGACAGTGGGTGTGGGTAGCAGGAGCAGGGAAGAAATGAGGAACGAGGCTTTTGCTTGGGTTGTGGACAATGAATGGGCATGTGGTGGAAGGACGGGAGAAGGAAGGGCAGGAGGATGGTGGGGGAAACCGCCACCATCCTGCCTGGAGAGTGGGTGTGTGTTGATGCGGTGCTTTCAGTCAGTGTAGTGATTGAAGTGTGGTGTAAGTGTGGTGAAAAGTGGGGCGAAACTTGTGATGGGCCAACCCAAGTGTATTGCGGTGGTACGATTGCAACTGCATTGGGGTATAGGTGAGATTGATCTGAGAAAAACAGCCCACCTGGCCAGATGTCTGTCTCCTTGAGACCTCTGTCTCTCAGCCACAGCCTCCAAGGGCGGCCGCAGAAGGAGCCTCCCCCAGAAAACGACAACTTAGGGTTGTCATCCACGCCACAGCACAGGGTCACCTCCCGCCCCCCTTTTAGCGGCACCTGCCATAAGCACATGTGGCTCGGCAGCACTAGAGGACAAACTGATGTAATTATAGGGGTTGGAGGTCTGCTGGAGTCCAACTCAGCTGATGCTGACGTGGAAGATGCTGACTCAGCAGCAGCGGCGGCGGCTGTGTCTACGCCAATCACGACGCATCGGTCACCGATCCGTGTGCCCCGGACCAGCCAGCTGTCAGAGACGACACTGCCCTCCCCGACACACGCGCCAGGTGGCACGTGCGACGAGATGAGCGCTGCAGATTGTGCCACGTGGCAGTCTGTGGGCGCGGCGACCGCGCTGAGGTGGCGGCGCGGCATTCGCCCGGTGTAGGGGAGGCTCATGTGGTGGAGATACTCTGATGATGTGCCGAAATGCAGGAAGGAGAGATCGTCTGCAGGAGAATTAACACGGGGGGCGGGGGAGAGGGGAGGGGGTGATGAAGACAGGGAATAGTTATGGGCGGCACATAGGCGAGGCGAGGCACATGTGGTGCAGTTGAGATACTCGGATGACGTGCCGAAGTGCAGAAAGGAGAGATCGTCTGTGGGAGGGGGAACGTAGGAGTCTCTGTGGGGGAGGGATGGGAGGAGGGTGTGCAGGGAGGAAAAGTGAATGGAGGGGGGAGGTGCAGTGAAACTCTGGATTACAGCAGCAGCACACGTGTGTGCAAGGTGGGAACCAGAATGCACACGTGTGTGCAAGGTGGGAACCAGAATGCACACGTGTGTGCAAGGTGGGAACCAGAATGCACACGTGTGTGCAAGGTGGGAACCAGAATGCACACGTGTGTGCAAGGTGGGAACCAGAATGCATGCAGCCAGACTTACCTGCGCAGTGGTGGAAGAGTGAGTGCGAGCTGAGGTGGGCGAGGAGGTGCGATCCCAGGGGGCGAGTGGAGAGCCACGCATGGCATGCCGGCACCCAAGCTGCTGCCAGCTCCTCATAGAGACTCAACTGGGGAGAGAGAGTCATAGGAAGTGGGAAGAACAAGATTCAACACCAGTGTATGTTCCCATCGCACCAACCAACCCCTACCGTTACCACTTGCCACCTCAACCTCTTCACCGCTCTCCTCTTCACCTCGTGTTTAAAGTAGTGTTTTGAGACTCAAAGCACTCCTACAAACATGTGCGAGCACGGAAAAGAATACTCCAATACTTGTTGAGGCACCTCAAAAGCTTCCTCACTCCACTCATTCACCTCTTCGCCTGAAGCCAGCAGTTCTCCTAGCAAGTCCTCCTCGCTGGTCGCCAGACCAATCAGGTCGCGCCACGTGTCACCGCAGACCGCATAGATCCCTGTATCTAGTAGTGCCCCCCCCGTGCCGCACAGTGCCCCCTTTTCCACCATCTCCCCCACACTCGGCTTCTGTAAAAGGTCGGTAACTAGCTCGGGAGATTCTATGCGGCACTGCTTCTCATGCTGGTTCCCATGCTGCTGCTGTTGCTCCAGCTGTTGCTGCTGCTTTCCATGCTGCTTCTGGAGCTGCCATTCCGCCTGCTCGTGTTGTTGCTGCTGCTGTTGCTGTTGCTCCTCATGCTGCTTCTTCAGCTGCTGCATCTGCTGCTGCTGTTGCTGCAGGAGCTGTAACTGCTGCTGCCTAAACTGTTGCTGCTGCAGCGGCACCTGTTGCTGCCACTGCTGCTGCGGTAGCTCATGATGCATCTGCTGCAATTGCATCATCTGTTGCATCTGCATCTCTTCACTTTGTCGATAATGCTGCTGCTGCAACTGCTCCTGCTGCAGCTGTTGCTGCTGCTGCAGCTGTTGCCGCTGCTGCTGATGCTGCTCCTGCTGTTTCTGCAGCTGCTCCTGTTGCTGCCTATGCTGCTGCTGCTGCTGTTGCTGCTGCTGCTGCTGTTGCTTCTCATGCTGCTCTTTCAGCTGCTGCATCTGCTGCTGCTGTTGCTCTAGGAGCTGCACCTGCTGCTGATAAAACTGTTGCTGCTGCAGCGGCACCTGTTGCTCCCACTGCTGTTGCGGTAGCTGATCACGCATCTGCTGCAAATGCATAATCTGTTGCATCTGCAGCTGTGAACTCTGCCGATTATGCTGCTGCTGCAACTGCTCCTCTTGCAGCTGTTGCTGCTGTTGCTGCTGCTGCAGCTGCTGCTGCCGCTGCTGCTCCTGCTGTTGCTGCTGCTGCTGCTGTTGCTGCAGCTGCTCCTGTTGCTGCCTATGCTGCTGCTGCCGCCACTGCCGCTGCTCCTGCTGCAAGTCCTGGTGCTGGTTCTCCTGAGAAACTGACTGTTTCTGATCGTTCAAGCCAGACCGTGCAAACTGCAGGAGCAGCGGTGATACGTGATATGTGATACCATGCTGTTGCTGCCGCTGCTGCTGCTGCTGCTGCTGTTGCTGCTGTTGCTGCAGCTGCTGCTGCTGCTGCTGCTGCTGTTGCTGCAGCTGCTCCCGTTGCTGCCTATGCTGCTGCTGTTGTTGCTGTTGCTGCTGCTGCTGCTGCAACTCCTGGTGCTGGTTCACCTGAGAAACTGACTGTTTCTGAGCGGTCAAGTCAGACCGTGACAACGCTTGATCCAATGAAATGTGCCTGGTCTGATCCGAGGCAACACTTCTGGTTTTGTCCAAAGCAAGGATTACTCCGTGCCGGGAGGCAACATCTAAGGGCACGGCAGCAGTGACGACGAGAGCCCCGTGGGAGGGCAGGCGGATGCGAGATGCATTGAAGCATGGCAACACATCGCCCGTCATTATGAAGAGCGCACCATCTGTGGTGTGGATTGAGAAGGGGGGAATGGGAATGGTAAGCCCGGCATGGGTAACAGTATGGACACACTCAGAGGGCAGGCGGATGCGAGAGGCGTTGAAGCATGGCAACACATCGCCCGTCATTATGAAGAGGGCTCCTTCTGGCGGAAGAGAGGGGACAGTGAGAGGGGTAAGGCCTGCAGTGTTTGAAGAAGTGTTTTGAGACGTCTCAAAACACTTCTTCAAACACGAGAGGGGACAGAGAGAGGGGACAGTGAGAGGGGTAAGGCCTGCATGGTTATGCGTGTATGGACACATGGGATGATCAGGGCGCGTCTGGGAAGATTAGGGGAAGTGCACGATTAACAAGTTGAGATGCAGGTTGGGCCAGCAAAGAAACCCCTCGCAACTTACCATTTGGGGGAACCCCTTGCAGATTACCGTTCTAAGGGAGAGAAGAGATGGCGAGAAAGTGGTCAAAGAGAGTCAATTCAATGGGGGCCCCGTGACCCCTCAGAGTTGACCCCAGCCAGCAGGGGGAAGGAAAAGGGCACAAAGGGGAAAGCAAAGCACAAAGCGCTTGCAGGTACAAAAGCAAAGGACCTGAGCCTAGTGCAATCCCCCCAAAACCCCTTCGCAGCGTACCATTGGAGGGCAGTACTTGAAGAGCCAGGGCTGACACGGCAAGGATGTGGTCAAAGAGAGTCAACGGGGGTCCGTCCGGGTCGTCCCCAGCCAGCAGTGGGAAGGGCACAAAGGGCTTGCCGCACGGATTGGCCCATGGCAGTCGCTTGCTGTCTCCCCCTGCGTGCACCAGTAATACTTTCATTGTTGGGAGGCGGGCAGAAGATGACTGGAACACAGTGAAAAGGCAGGGCAATAGGGCACAGAGGGAGAGGGAAGGAGGGAGAGCAGTGTTTGACATGGGCCGTCCTCAGCCAGCAACAGGAAGGGAAGGGCACAAAGGGCTTGCTGCACGGGTTGGCCCATGGGAGTCGCTTGCTGTCTCCGCCTGCGTGCACTAGTAGCACCTTCATTGATGGGAGACGGGCAGAGGCGGACTGTGGGTGGGGCACTGTCAATAGGTGGGGCAATGGGGCACGGAGGGAGAGGGAAAAGGGAGAGCAGGGATTGACATGGGTCGTCTCCAACCAGCAGCGGGAAGGGCACAAAGGGCTTGCCGCATGGGTTGGCCATGGCAGTCGCTTGCTGTCTCCCCCTGCGTGCACCAGCAGCACCTTCATTGATGGGAGACGGGCAGAGGCGGACTGGAAAGTGGAGTGGGAAAGAGGAGAGAGGAGAATGGGGCGAGGGAAAGCAAGGAATGGCTTGGCTGATGATGACAGGCGCTTGCTGTTGCCCGCTGCAAGAGAAGTAAGGTTCTACATACATACAAGACAAGGCACGGGATGCGTTTGGGTGGTGTACTTACACAAACTTTGCACCGCACTGAGTAATATACCAAGCTATCAACCATCCATCCATGGTGCGTGCTGAGAAAGGTTCACATAGCGCGTCTTGAAAACCACCTCCAACCTCCATTCCCCCACCACTCGCAGGAACCCCAAAGGAAGCTCTCACTCACCTCCCATCCCCCGAATAAACCCTCAACCCACACATGAGCCCTCAACCCCAGCTAGACCCTCAACCCCCAACCCCAACGGTCGCTAGTCCAAATCCGATCTGTTTCCCCTCCCTTAGCTCGGAGGCAACAAAAAAAAAAAAAAAACATGTTCCTCACGGCCCGCAGAGATTCCAAGGAAGGTCTCACCTCCCCCAGATAATCCCGCAATGCCTCTATAGCTTCCAGGGTCACTTATTGAGACGTCTAAACACACATGCGGGGATCACAACTTCACAAGGCAGTCGCAAGGCCGGTCTCACCTCCCCCATATATTCCCTCAACGCCCGGATAGCTCCCAAAGTCGCTCCTCCAGATCCGACCCGCTTCCCCTCCCCGTCCGGCATGAAGTTGTCTTCTGGGGCAACCCAAACATCACCCTTACCAAGGTGATACCCGCTACCCCGACCCACCACATGCATAGATTCCAAGGTGGGTCTCACCTCCCCCAGATGATCCCTCAACGCCCGGATGGCTCCCAGGGTCGCTGCTCCATTCCCGATCCGCTTCCCCTCCCCGTCCCGCACTGCCAGCACGATGGTCTCCCACACACCTTCCCCCACATCACCCACCCTCCCGCCTCCCTTCCCCCACCACATGGGGGGGGTCCCCAAGGCAGGTCTCATCTCATCTCACCTCCCCCAGATGATCCCTCAACGCCCGGATAGCTCCCAGGGTGGCTCCTCCAGATCCAATCCTCTTCCCCTCCCTGTCTGGTACTGCCAGCACGATGGTCTCCGCTGCGATGTGCCCATTGTGCCGCGCTGCTTCCAGCTGCCTGGATCAAGGCAAGGAGGCAAGAAGACGAAACGAGGTGTGATGTGAGAGTTCAAAACTGGGGAAAGAGGTGGTGAATGAAAGCTCCCCTGTCCGGTACTGCCAGAACGATGGTCTCGGCTGCGATGTGCCCATTGTGCCGCGCTGCTGCCAGCTGCCTGGCAGGAGGAGGGTTGGTGGAGGAAGAATAAGAATGAGAGTGAGGTGGGGTGGGATTTGGCACTGCCAGCACAATGGTCTTCTCTGCGATGTGCCCATTGTGCCGCGCTGCTGCCAGCTGCCTGGTCGGTGGGAGGCCAGAAGACGAACGAAACGAGGTGTGAGAGTTGTGCACAAACGACGGCCTCCTGTCTCCGCTGCATTGTGCCGCGCTGCTGCCAACTGCCTGGATCAAGGAGGATGCGGGAGGGAGGATTAAAAGAAGGAGGGTGATACTTCCTACACGTTGGGTGGTGAGGTGAGGTGAGGTGAGGTGGGGTTTGATACTTCTGCCTGCCAGCATGATGGCCGTCACTTTTGATACTTCCTACACGTTGTACTATCTCCTTTTTAGGCGCCTCAAAAAGTCTACAGATAGCATATCTTCTGAGGAAAGGGCCACGCATACAAGACCGACCACCCAGCTGCTAAGAAAAGTGAGAGCTTGTCCAAAAAAGGAGTCTTGTTCACAAATGATGGGGCTGCAGTCCCATCTCAACGACTCCAAAGTACAGGGATCGGGCCGCGGTTCCAACGACTTCGGAATATCTAGTCTAGATGATGGTGGAGGAGCGGATGGAGCTCTGCAGCAGTGCCTCAAAAGTGACCCAGCGACTCCAGAATACAGGGAAGGCTTTTAAGTAACCTGGTGGAGCGGATGGAACTCGGAAGCGCCTCAAAAGTGACCCAACGACTCCAGGGCCAATCTGAACCTTCGCTCTGAACTCTGCCGCAGACTACGTCATGTTCCGCGCGGCGCGTCGCTCGAAGCGGAGTTCTAAGTCCAGTTGCGTCGAGTTTGAGAGTTTTTAGTAGAGTTTTGAGTCGGCTTAAAACGCGTCGTGTACCTGGAGTAAAGGTCAGCCTGCGCGTCGCTCGCGGCGGTGATCAGCGGCGCGTCCCACGGAAGGAAGAAGTTCGGAGCGCGAATGGAGAGCCTGAGCTGGAACCATGCGCGGGAGAGAATCCAGCCGCCCTACGACCGTCGCTGGCTAAAGACTTATGTTAAAAACTTACTAATGAATGCCAGCTCGCAATAGATATGGTAGTCGGTACCTGGAGTAAAGATCAGCCTGACGAAGCGCGTAGCTCGTACCAGCGAGTTTTTTAGTCGATTTGGAGTCCCGTTTAAGTGTCAAAACGCGTCGTGTACCTGGAGTAAAGGTCAGCCTGCGCGTCGCTCGCGGCGGTAATCAGCAGCGCGTCCCACGGAGGGAAGCGATTCGGAGCGCGAATGGAGAGGCGGAGCTGAAACCACGCGCGGGAGAGAATCTTCGCCTCCCTGCGACCGTCGCTGGCTAAACACGTATGTTGAAGACTTACTTATGAATGCCAGCTCGCGATGGACGTGGTAGTCGGTACCTGGAGTTAAGATCAGCCTGTCGAAGCGCGTCGCTCGTACTAGCAAGTTTTTGAGTCGATTTCGAGTCGCGTTAAGTGTAAAAACGCGTCGTGTACCTGGAGTAAAGGTCAGCTTGAGCGTCGCTCGCGGCGGTGATCAGCAGCGCGTTCCACGGAGGGAAGCGATTCGGAGCGCGAATAGAAAGGCGGAGCTGGAACCACGCGCGGGAGAGGATCTCCGCCTCCCTACGACCGTCCCTCGCCAGTTCGGACGATGAGAGCCAGTCGTCAGCTGCCGCGCCGGTCGACATGGCTCGAGCACTGACACTACAAAGGTTTAAAAAATGGCGGACTTTAGTACGACTAAGCAAACGAATGCCAGCTTCAAATGGTGAGTTCCGCTCTGTCAAATACTTGGTTCGTTGGGAGGAATTGCGAGGGCAGGGCAGGGATGCCACTGGGAACATTTGTAGCGAGAGGGAAGTTTGTTTGGCTGGTTTTGGTTTGGGCGCGTATGGTTTGGGCTGGGTTAGGATGGGTTGATTTGGGTTAAGCTGGTTGCACGTGGCGCTGGTTTGGGCAAATTGCAGGTGGGGCTTGAGAGGAAGTTGTGGTCGAAGTGGCGAGGGCGGGAGTTGCATGGGTCTCTTGAGAGGAAGGGGAGGGGAGGGGAGCGGGGTGAACGCTTGGCGGAAACGTTAGGGCGTGTAAAATTGTAACGACCAAACCCTTTGCACGTTTCTGGCGATTGCGAAACGATGTAACGCGTAAGCGATCGCCGCCACAGTTTTCGTGAGCGCGTGGGGCATCCGCCACGAACCATCCCCGTAAGTGAAAGCAAAATTTTTGATTCTTACTACTGCATTCGAACGGGGTGGGAATAGAGGGGGCTTGGAGGCCTAGATCCGAGTATTTAACAACGCATTAAGTTTAGGCGAGCACAAAGGGTTTTTCCCTCGCTGAGGAAACGTTTCTATGTAGGTCCCAAAATGCAGTGCGTCCAATTTCTATAAATAATACCCTTTCTATTTTGTCAAATCGGGATGACTACTCTAAACCGCGTAACCCTAATTCCTCGCAATCGCCAGAAACGCCCAAATGAACGACCATAGCGTTTGGTCGTTACAATTTACACGCCCTTACAGTACGGGGGTTGAGGAGGTCGGGTTTCCCCCAACGCCCGTATGTCGTCGCAGGTTCATTTGGCTTGAGGGAAGAATGCCTTGGTCGGGCGACCTTAGCGGAATGGGCGGTGTCGTGTCAGGCACGTGGCACGGTAGCACAGACACAAGTTGTTCCTTGTTATTATAAAACGCGTAAACACAACAATGTCTCTTGTGGCTGCGCGTAAATGGAAAACTATGGAGGCTTCATAACAGAAGATGCATGCCTAAATATCGCACATATGAATGTTTTATAGCTAGTTTTGTTGTTGTAGGAACTTGTAGTAACCACCAGCGCTTATGGCTAAACAACAATTTCGATCTGTAGCGAGAATTCGAGTGAGATTTTTGTCGCGGTGGTTTTTCAATATTTCGCGAATCTGAAGTCGTCGCCGATATTCGCGCCATATGTGCAAGGGGTTGGGGCAGCAGAACTCAAACAGAAGCTGTGATCGGCTGACTGCCTGTTGCGTCGTTTCCCTTGCACTAGCATCAGGGCAGGAATTTCTCTTCACAGGCGTCAGGAGTTCGTGTGACCGTTTTAGTACCGGTTCGATTCTCACAGTCCCGCAAGCCGTAAGATGTACCATCATCCCAGCCTCATCATACCTTCGTAAGGTTCTTGTGCTTTTTTTTTATCAGGTGTGGCGCTTAGGCGTGCTACGTTCTCGTCATCTTTGTGGTCAAATGGTTCCCTTGGAAATGGATCCTGACAGCGAGCATAAGTCGAAGCTAATCCCGGACTCTGCGGGTGAAGACGCTAAAGCTGGAAAGGGTGAACGTTGGAGTAATGGAATTGCAACCTCTAGGCGAAGCAGCTCGGAATCGTTGCTCTCAACTATCCAGTTGGTTTCCATAATATTCTTCACGGTGACAGGGGTAAGGAATCGAACCACGTCAAAAAGCCTCAGTAGGTGCGAATCTCCGTCCTGATACCCTTGTTTTCAGGGTCCATACGGCTTCGAGGACGTAATCGGAGCCTCAGGTGGCCTTGTAGGGCTGGGGATGCTACTTTTAATTCCCTTCCTTTGGTCTGCGCCATTGGCACTGATGACTGGAGAACTGGCTTGCATGATTCCTCAGAGCGGGGGACACATTTTATGGGTGTATCATGCTTTCGGACCATTCTGGTCGTTATTCAACAGCGTCTTGACGTTTGGATGCGGGGTGTTTGACAACGCACTGTATCCAGCCCTTTTCGTTGACTATCTGAGCCACATCATATATGGTCCTTTTGGAGCAATTCCCATGCCGTATTCGCTCATTCTGAAGGCGACAATGATCGCAGTCACGACCGCACTCAACTTGAGCGGAGTCGACATAGTAGGTACGTAATTTATTTTGAAGTGTTTCACAAGGAATTTGAGAATTCTCGGTCTCACAGACTGTTTTGGCAGGGAAAGCATCGATGGTTTTTGGGGTGTCTGTCATAGCTCCTTTCGTTGCAATGTTCTTCTTCGCCATTCCCCAGCTGAACCTGCAATGGATCAGCTTTCCAACACCCAAGCCTTTAAATTGGCCAAAGTTACTCTCCGTGCTTCTTTGGAACACTTCAGGGTAAGTAAGGTTGCTCTGTTCTGCGTCCTTAGCACGAATAAAAGGTCTAAGCGTTTGTGTGTGCAGGTTTGATTCCGCTGGGGCTTGTGCTGGTGAAGTGAAAGATCCAGGAAGGTCATATCCTCAGGCGTTGCTGATTTCCGTGGGACTGATGCTTGTTACCTACATCGTTCCAGCCTTAGTTGGCTTGAGTGTGGCGCCATATTTCGAGCTGTGGAAAGGCGGCACCTTTACGGACATAGCTGCACGTGTTGGAGGCCGTCCGTTAGAGGTAATGGGTGGTAAATGGCTTGTTTCAGCATGAACGATAGATTCATTTTATTGTGCGGCAGATTTGGTTGGGACTTGGAGGAGTCGCCAGCACCTTTGGTCTTCTTTTAACTCGTCTATGCATGAGCTCGAGGCTTGTCTATGGAATGGCGGTGGCGCATAAGGTAACATAGTGTCATCCCTTTCTGATATTCTGCAGCCTTCTCACACTTCCTGTTTCGCAGGCACCCCAGTTCTTTCAATCTGTTGAAGGGAAACATGGAACTCCTTGGGTAGCACTTGTTATCACTGCTTTTTGCACTCTTCTGCTGTCTGGATCCAAGTTCACACTTCTTGCTGAGGTGAGTACTCACAATACGGTTATGCTGCCATGCTTGGACATAATCTTGACTGAATCTGCTTGCTTTGCTGAGTGGCAGGCGGATATGGTTTTGTACTGCATCTCCTCAGCATTGAAGTTCTCAGCTCTTATTTACCTGAGATTTACAGAGCCAGATGCCTACAGGCCTTTCCGCATTCCTGTGGGTAATCTAGTGCTTGTCGGTGAGTAATTCAATGGATGCTGTTTTCTTTTCCATCTATTTCCCAAGTTTGTCTTCTTCACCCCTTGCTGTTGTGGCAGGGCTTACGGCTATTCCACTACTAGTGTGCTTTACAATGGTGGTCCTGGGTTCACCGTTCTCACATCTCGTGGCTCTTTCATGTACGTCTGAAGCCCATCTGTTTGAAAGATGAAGCGTGTATATGGATGACGCTGACTTTCTCCTGTCATGTTTCTTTGCAGGCCTTATGATTGCCATCCTAACCCACGTTTGGCTTGAGGCCATAGTCCCTTTTCTCAAAAGGACTGTGTCTGCCGCTGCTGTAGTTTATTACGGGTTGAAAGAGCACCTCACGCGAATGTATTCTCGTCCAACACATACCCTGTTAGCTGCAGATACGCAAGCCATCTCTCAGCAAGCATGACTTGTCTAGAAATTTCATTGATTCCTTCATCATGTTGACTCAGTTCTAATAATTCAATCAGTGATGACATCTGCAGTTATTGGGTAGGGGAAGCCGGTACTAAAGATGTTGATTGAATGTGGAATGGAGTGCAAGGAATGAAAAGCGTTGTGACTCGTGTATTGAATCATCGTGTGAAAAGCAAATCTGCGTCTTGCCAATAAGCGGGCTGGTGGATGACTTGGTGCGTGCATTTCAATTCTTCCACGTGACCCATATGGGACACTCAGCCAATCTCAGTAAATTTCATGCCACATCTCACCTGACGTGGCATCACTTGTGGACGCCAAGCCTCCCACTTCAGCAAAAGTGACGTTTTGCGAACCGGGCCTTGTTTGTTGCTTGCCATGACCAAGTTCTTGAACAAAGTTTGGCGCGAAACCGAGCCTCGAGAGGTACGGTGCCATAAAACTGGCTCGGCTGCATTATTTGTGGCTGCTGCTCAGACCTACCTAGGCTCGAACCAGGTCCAAACCACAGGCCTCGAACCTGTTCTCAAGGCTCTCTCAAATTTCAGTATATGCTGTGGGATTACGTCCCCAGCACATTCACACAATTCCCAAGGGCATCCTGGTCCGTGGACCCTTGGATTCTGGCTTGCCTGCTCTGCTGCTTCTGCAACCCTGAAGCCCACTGAATAAATTTCGTGCTCTTTTTTCCGGGTTGTGGACGGAATTCAGGAGTGTGCTCTTTTTTCTCCCGAATTGTCTCGGAGAGAAAGGGTTGATCAGGCCGGCCGGAGCATTGTGCATTTCTTCAGTCTAGTGATCTGACATTGCCGCAATGGCTGCATCCAGCAGACAGCAATGGATGCGCTGCGTGCGGAGTCTGGGAGTCGTTATTAGCAACACCGGCTCACGGCCAGTCGTGAACCATTCCCGGCCTCTCACCTCCCTCGCCGACGCTCCCGCTCGCCATGGCGTTCCCAGCATGCTGGGAGCTTTCTCCGCTCGCTCCACCGGCATGGCGGCCGAAATTCGTGCCCGGAATGCCGCTCAAGGGTTCCGTTCCATCTCCGTCGACGCATTGAAGCCAAGCGACACTTTCCCCCGCCGTCACAACAGCATCACCCCTCCAGAGGCCCAAGCCATGGCCGAGTTCTGCGGCTTCGAATCCGTCGATGCTCTCGTCGCTGCGACCGTTCCCAAGGACATCAGGCGTCAGCCGCTGCAGCTGGGGAAGTACACGGAGGGATTTCCGGAAAACGAGATGCTCGAGCGCTTTAAAGACATGGCTTCTAAGAACAAGGTTCTCAAGTCATTCATCGGCATGGGTTACCACGGAACCATTGTCCCGCCAGTCATTCTCCGTAACCTTCTGGAGAACCCCGGCTGGTACACCCAGTACACTCCGTACCAGGCGGAAATTGCCCAGGGACGTCTGGAATCGCTCCTCAACTTTCAGACCTTGATTACTGACCTCACGGCTATGCCGATGTCTAATGCGTCGCTTCTTGACGAGGGAACCGCAGCGGCTGAAGCCATGGCCATGTGCCTCAACATCAGCCGAGGCAAGAAGACCAAATTCTACATCTCCAATCTGTGCCACCCGCAGACCATCGACGTGTGCCTGACACGCGCGGATGGGCTTGGGATCGAAGCCATTGTCGGTGACCACACGACGTTCGACTACTCCAAGAAGGACGTTTGCGGCGTTCTCGTGCAGTACCCTGCGACGGACGGCACCCTGATCGACTACTCCGATTTCGTCGCCAAGGCTCACGAAAACGGCGCGAAGGTCGTCATGGCGACGGATCTGCTCGCGCTGACGGTCGTCCGGCCGCCCGGCGAGCTCGGCGCGGATATGGTGGTCGGTTCGGCGCAGAGGTTCGGCGTGCCGATGGGGTACGGTGGTCCGCACGCGGCGTTCCTTGCCACGTCAGCGGAGTATAAGCGGCTGATGCCCGGGAGGATTATCGGAGTGAGCATTGACGCGCAGGGGAATCCGGCTCTGCGCATGGCGATGCAGACCAGGGAGCAGCACATCAGGCGAGACAAGGCCACTAGCAACATCTGCACGGCGCAGGTACGGAAGGCAGCGATGAATGCAGGGTCCAGTATGAATGCACTTTATGGTCAGGTATCACGTTTTGACAAGCACTTCAATTTCAAGAATTGCGTAATCACATGCACTAATTTTCCTGGAATTGCCCGTTAAGAGTCCAAGAATGCGCTGTTGAGAAAGTCTGATCAACGTGCCCACCGTAGACGCCGTGAGTCTCTAGCGTCAAGGCCTCAAATGTGTCTTTCGGAGTCGACCCAACATGCTTTTCGTCCTTATCTTCCCTCTCGTCCATCTCGTCCTTCTCGTTTCGACCTTCCGCTCCCCTTCCGTCCTCCATCGTCCTCTCTCAGGCGCTCCTCGCCAACATGGCCGCGATGTACGCCGTGTATCACGGCCCCGCGGGTCTCAAGGACATCGCGAACCGCGTGCACGGGCTCGCGGCGGTCTTCGCCAAGGGCGTCGAGAAGGCGGGCGCCGGCACTGTCGCGAAGGAGCCATTCTTCGACACCGTGAAGGTGACCGTCGGCGGCGGCAAGGCTGCTGACGTGGCGGCTGCGGCGGTGAAGGAGGGGATGAACCTGCGCGTGCTGGACCCCGACACGGTGAGCAAATACAGAAATCGGGAAGAGGTTCGGGAGCAGAATAGATGGCGGTGAAACATGTGCAGAGTGTGCCGAATGCTGGTACGGTGAGGTGAAGGAAAGGGAAGGACGTGCACGGGCTCGCGGCGGTCTTCGCCAAGGGCGTCGAGAAGGCGGGCGCCGGCACTGTCGCGAAGGAGCCGTTCTTCGATACGGTGAAGGTGACCGTTGGCGGCGGCAAGGCTGCTGACGTGGCGGCTGCTGCGGTGAAGGAGGGGATGAACCTGCGCGTGCTGGATCCCGACACGGTGAGGGGAAGGAGAGGATGTTGACGGTCCAGCGAGTAGCGAAGGAATGGGAAAGGGAGGGGATGCTGACATGGCGAGGGGATGCTGGGGTGGTGAGGAAGTGGGAGGTTGTTTCAGGTTGGAGAGGAAGAGAAAACTGGGAAAAATGCTGCAACTGTAACGTTGGGGAGATTTTTTACGTTGGGGAGGGAAGGATGTACGGTGTGAGGAGAAGCTGGAAGCTGGGAGATGCTAGGGAGTGTACGGGAGTTGCGAAAGCTTATACAGAGTGTGGTGGTCGGAAAGCGGGGGGCCAGATGAAATTGGAGAGATTGGTTGTGAATAAGCGTGCGACTTGAGTCGCCTTCGGCGATTATGGAAGAAATCGGATGTGGATGGGATCAGGATCGATGGAGAAGGGAGGTCGCGAATAGAATGCTGCAGAAGGAAATAAGCATGTGCGTACTGCGCCTCCCGGCCTGCTTCCCTCCTCACCCCATTTTCTCTCTTCCAATGACAGATCACTGTTGCGTTCGACGAGACCAGCACCATTGCTGACGTGGACGCGCTTCTGAAGGTCGTGGCTGGCAAGCAGGTGAGGTGCAATGGGGTGCGGAGCAAGCGAGCGAGGGAGGCGTGGGACATTGGCCATAGGGCACGGGGCGCGGGGCACGGTGCATGGGGCGTGGGTGGGGCACGGGGCACGGGGCACGGGGCGTGGGGCACGGGCATGGGGCAAGGGTCACGGGGCGTGGGGCTGGCTGGAACAACAGTAAGTTAACGTCCACGCAGGCGTCAAACGTATTCGGTGCCGAATCTATCACATCTCGTTGCATCGCATTTCTCTTCTTTTCATAACTGTCTTCTGACATGCTTCTCCATGCTGACAACCACTCCTCCCCCCCCGCTTTTCCATATACCCCCTCACTAACGCGTCTTCACACCGAACCCCACTGGGCCAAACTCCATTGCACCTAGCTCCATCGCATGTCCTTCCTTGGATGATCAGTGTGTTCCTCTGTTGCGTCATGATCCATCCCCTCCCCTGATCCCCTTTCCAGCCTGCCTTCACGGTGGAGTCTATTGCACCGCAGGTGGATGCGTCCCTGCCCAAGTCGCTGGCTCCCTTCGCGTCCTACGGGTGTTTATCATAAATTGACTTCTCGTCCCTCCACCTGATCCCCTCTCCAGCCTGCCTTCACAGCGGAGTCCATTGCACCGGAGGTGGACGCGTCTCTGCCCAAGTCTCTGGCTCCCTTCGTGTCCTAGGAGTCTGCATTGAAAACTGAGCCATGATCCATCCCATTCTCTGATCCCTTCTCTCCAGCCTGCCTTCACAGCGGAGTCTATCGCACCGGAGGTGGACGCGTCCCTGCCCAAGTCACTGGAGAGGGAGAGCGCCTTCCTCACTCACCCCATCTTCAACTCGTGAGTACAAAGAACGCCTCTCTTGAGTAGTGCATTCGAAAACAGATCTCAGAGGTTCTGCCCAAAGCGCCGGAGAGATGCAGTGCCTCCCACGCTCACCCCATCCATCTTCAACGCGAGAGGGAAAACATCACAAAAAAGTTACCACTCAGAGCATGAGCTACTGCGCTACCTGCACCGGCTACAATCTGTCCCTTCCCTCAAATGTTGTGCCTCTCCTCTTCCCTTCCCTTACCCCCCTTCTCCCTCCCCTCCCTTTCCTCCCCACCCCACAGCTACCACTCTAAGTACGAGCTGCTGCGCTACCTGCACCGCCTGCAGGCGGCTTCTTCCTGTAAATCCTATGCCTCACTTTCCCTCCTCCCCTCCCTCCTCTTCCCCAGGTACTACTCAGAGCACTAGTTGCTGTGCTACCTGCACCGCCTGCAGTCCATCCCTCCCCTTTAATCGTCCCCCTATCTCATGTCATATCCTCCCCTCTCGCCCCCCTCACCCCCCAGCTACCACTCAGAGCACGAGTTGCTGCGCTACCTGCACCGCCTGCAGGCGAAGGATCTTTCCTCAAATCTTGTGCCTCCTTTTCCCCCCTCCTCTCTCGTCCCTTCCCCTCTCCTCTCCTCTCCTCCTCCCTCCTTCCACAGCTACCACTCAGAGCACGAGTTGCTGCGCTACCTGCACCGCCTGCAGGCGAAGGACCTGTCTCTCGTGCACTCCATGATCGCCCTGGGCTCCTGCACCATGAAGCTCAACGCCACAGCCGAGATGATCCCCATCACATGGCCCGAGCTTGCCAACCTTCACCCTTTTGCGCCCCTCGACCAGACCCAGGGTTACCAGGTACGCACTCCTTGCTTCTCCTGTGTAAGCATCTGAATGCCCTCTGTTGCAACGCCCCATCCCCTCGGCTCCTGCACCATGAAGCTCAACGCCACGGCGGAGATGATCCCCATCACATGGCCCGAGCTCGCCAACCTCCACCCCTTCGCACCCCTCGACCAGACCCAGGGTTACCAGGTACGCATGTCTTCTCCAATGTTGGGGCACTAGGGCATCAACACCTGAGTGCCCTCTGTCTGTTCTAGGGCTCTAGGGCTCATCCCCTCGGCTCGTGCACCATGAAGCTCAACGCCACAGCGGAGATGATCCCCATCACATGGCCCGAGCTCGCCAACCTCCACCCTTTTGCGCCCCTCGACCAGACCCAGGGTTACCAGGTACGCATGCCATATCATTCTCAACGGAAGGGGGGGGGGGGCGGTAACGTCTTTGAATGCCCTATGTTATGGGGTCTCTTTTGAGCCCTCGGCTCGTGCACCATGAAGCTCAACGCCACAGCCGAGATGATCCCCATCACATGGCTCGAGCTCGCCAATATCCACCCCTTCGCCCCTCTTGGCCAGACCAAGGGTTGTCAGGTACGCACATGCCATTCTCCTGCTTTTGGGGGCAAGCATTAGTGTGTGAATTCCCCTTGTTGTAAGGCCACTTCGTCTGGTCCCTGGGCTCCTGCACCATGAAGCTCAACGCCACAGCCGAGATGATCCCCATCACATGGCTCGAGCTCGCCAATATTCACCCCTTCGCACCCCTCGACCAGACCAACGGCTGTCAGGTATATTTCTTTTATATTTGGGGAAAGAACATTTCTGTTGTGGTTCTGAGGCCCCTTCTTCTGGGCTCGTGCACCATGATTCTCAACCCTGTTCGCTCCTTTCCATCACTCCTCCTCTCACCCCCTCAGGAGATGTTCAACGACCTGGGCGCCATGCTGGCGGAGATCACTGGCTTCGACTCCGTCTCTCTGCAGCCCAACGCGGGTGCTGCTGGCGAATACGCGGGTCTCATGGCCATTCGCGCGTATCACCAGGTAAGGGGGATACGGTTTGATAAGTACTGACTGGTTGGTAGTCATAGTTATGCCTGGGGCTCATGAGTTATCATCGGGGGAGTCTCCCTGCAGCCCAACGCGGGTGCTGCTGGCGAGTATGCGGGTCTCATGGCCATCCGCACTTACCACCAGGTAGGCTGGTTTTCGCACATGTGCCTCTTGAGTCATCTCAAATGGTTTTCTACACAGATACGTAAAAGCATACAGAAGGTTTTTCTTGTGTTTCAAATTGAAATATATTCGACGCGGTTGTTGGAACAGTCATTATTAGCACCAAACGCTTATCTCGCACACCTGTGCATCATCACGGTGTCAGTGCACGGTACCAACCCAGCTAGCTCTGCCTCATGGGCTTCCCTCTTTCCCACTCCCCTCCCTCCCGCTCCGCCAGTCCCGTGGCGACCACCATCGCAACGTGTGCATCATCCCCGTCTCAGCGCACGGCACCAACCCAGCGAGCTCTCTGTCTCATGTGCATCCCTGTTTCCCACTGTTTCCCCTCCATTTCCCCCCTCGCAGTCCCGTGGCGACCACCATCGCAACGTGTGCACCATCCCTGTATCAGCCCACAGCACCAACCCAGCGACCTCTGTCTCATGAACTTCCCTCTTTCCCATTTTCTCACTGTTGCCCGACTGTTTCCCCTTCATTTCCCCCCTCGCAGTCCCGTGGCGACCACCATCGCAATGTGTGCATCATTCCAGTCTCAGCGCACGGCACCAACCCAGCAAGTGCAGCCATGTGTGGCATGAAGATCGTGGCTGTGGGCACGGACGACAAGGGCAACGTCAACCCCTCTCCTTCCTCCTCTCCCTGCCCCTCCCGTCCTCTAACAATTCTTCCTCTCCTCCCTCCTCTCCCTTCCCCTCCCTTTCCCCCCCACTTCCCCTCAACCTCAACAGTCCCGTGGCGACCACCATCGCGATGTGTGCATCATCCCCGTCTCAGCCCACGGCACCAACCCGGCCAGTGCAGCCATGTGTGGCATGAAGATCGTGGCTGTGGGCACGGACGATAAGGGCAACGTCAACATCGCTGAGCTGAAAGCGGCTGCTGAGAAGCACAAGGACGACCTCGCTGCCCTCATGGTGAGCAGGGTTATTAGTCGTTAGTCAGGTCAGGCTAATCCGCTCCTTTCTGCTGGGGAGGAGCACGGACGACAAGGGCAATGTGAACATTGCTGAGCTCAAGGCAGCTGCTGAGAAGCACAAGGACGATCTCGCTGCCCTCATGGTGAGAACATAGAGGGCTTGCAGTCCGGTCAGGGTGATTTGCACCTTTTTGCTGGGGGCAAGATCGTGGCTGTGGGCACGGACGACAAGGGCAACGTGAACATTGCTGAGCTCAAGGCGGCCGCTGAGAAGCACAAGGACGACCTCGCTGCCCTCATGGTGAGTGCGTGGGGGGGCTTGTAGTCAGGTCAGGGTGATGTGTCCCACGTTGCTGGGGTAAGTACCTTGAGGCACTTTGGGGCATGAAGATTGTGGCTGTGGGCACGGACGACAAGGGCAATGTGAACATCGCTGAGATGAAAAGCACAAGGACGACCTCGCTGCCCTCATGGTGAGTGCGTGTGTGGAAGGGTTGGTGGGGGGAGGGGGGTTTGAAGTGGGCAATAGGCAGTGGGGTATCCAATGGACGACAAGGGCAATGTGAACATCGCTGAGCTGAAAGCGGCTGCTGAGAAGCACAAGGACGACCTCGCTGCCCTCATGGTGAGAGGGGGATTTGTGAGCTGGCTTCATGGCAGCCATCTACTTATGCGTGCGCTTCTCTCTCTTCCCTCCCTTCTGCTCCCCTCCTTAGTGGTTCTATCCTTTTCAGTCAGTCCCACTCTTTTTCTCTCAGCCCTTCCGAATCTTGCCCTTTTTCCATGTGCTTTGCCATGTGTGTGTGGGCCCCTTCATACTTGCAGATCACCTACCCGTCGACCCACGGAGTGTATGAGGAGGGTGTTGAGGAGATTTGCCGCATCATCCACTCATTCCTAAGCAACCATTCTTTTTCTGCGCTGTTTGTTTTTACATGTGCGTATGGCTATGTGCGTATGACTGTGCATGCTTGCTGCAGATCACCTACCCATCAACCCACGGAGTGTACGAGGAGGGTGTTGACGATATTTGCCGCATTATCCATGCCAACGGTGGCCAAGTGTACATGGATGGCGCCAACATGAACGCACAGGTGAGCCCTAAGCATACGTGCACACAGATATATGGTGATTGCGACCCCATGTCACATCATCCATGCCAACGGATGGCGCCAACATTAATGTCCAGGTGAGCCCTGAGCAAACATGCACATGTTGTTGGTTTACTGGTAATTGTGACCCCTTCTCACATTATTCAAGCCAACGGTGGCTAAGTGTACATGGATGGCGCCAACATGAACGCACAGGTGAGTCTCAATCCTACATGCATACATGCTTATCTTGGTGGATCGTTGGTGTTTCTGACCCCATGGTACATCATCTAAGGAGCGGACATGTACGTATCTCAATCTGCACAAAACGTCTGTTCACACATTTTCACCCCACCTCCTTATCATCCCTTCTTCTCTCTTCTGTCTCTCTCCTATCTCCCTCCAGGTCGGCCTCACCAGCCCAGGCCACATTGGAGCAGACGTGTGCCATCTCAATCTCCACAAGACCTTCTGCATTCCCCACGGAGGGGGTGGTCCCGGCATGGGCCCCATTGGAGTCAAGGCGCACCTCGCTCCCTTCCTGCCCTCCCACCCTGTGGTGAGTTCCTTGTGCCTCCCTACCCACCTTGGGTGGTTGATCTATGTCCCTTGTTGTCTTGACTCCTGCCATCACCTAGCAACTTACAGCATTCCCCACGGAGGGGGTGGTCCTGGCATGGGCCCCATTGGAGTCAAGACGCACCTCGCCCCCTTCCTGCCCTCCCACCCCGTGGTGAGTTCTCTTTTGCCCCCCCTCGCGCTGTGGTGCGTCCTACCCACCCTTTGTTGAGTTATGTGCCTCTTTATCTTTCCCCCTAGCCACGTTCTGCACTCCAAATGGTGCCTCATGGCTCGGTCAGCAGGCACATGTGCGCCATTGTCAGTGCCCCCAGTGCCCATCCCACTCACCCACATTCTCCTTCCACTCTCTCTCCTCCTTCATTACCGCTCCCCCTCGCCGTCATCCTTACCACTCGCTCACCCACTTCTCCCACTGTCCTCCTACCCTTCCCCAACCATCAGGTCCTCACTGAAGGCATCTCCCCTCCTCACCCTGGCTCAGTGGGCAAGCAGATGGGCGCCATTGCTGCTGCTCCCTGGGGGTCCGAGCTCATCCCATCTACCCCTCCATTGCATACTGACTCATCTTATTCCTTAAAACCCCACCCCACCCCTCCCCACCCATCAGGTCCCCACTGGAGGCATCCCCCCTCCCCCCCCCGGCTCAGTGGGCAAGCAGATGGGCGCCATTGCTGCTGCTCCCTGGGGCTCTGCACTCATCCTGCCCATCTCCTTCATGTACATCGCCATGATGGGCGCGCAAGGGCTAACTGACGCTTCAAGACTCGCCATCTTGAACGCCAACTACATGGCCAAGAGGCTCGAGGTGGGTGGGATGGTTTCAAGTTGGGACATTTTGAATGCTATCTAGTTGTAGGGGCTCTGCTTTCATCCTGCCCATTCACACCGCAATGATGGGCACCCGAGGACTCACTGATGGTTCAAGACTCGCCATCTTGAGACTGTTCAGAGCCCTTGCACCTCCTCACCATCATTTTGCGCTTTTGTGTGTTCTTCCCTTCCTGTCCTCCCTTCACCTCCAGAGCCACTACCCAGTGTTGTTCAGGGGTACCAACGGCACTTGCGCTCACGAATTCATCATTGACCTGAGGGGATTCAAGGTGGGTCTCAGGTGAAACAGCATGTAAAACACCAGGTGAAAATTCAGCGATAACCCTTGGGTTGAACAAATTGGTCATTTCTTTTCCAATCCTCGTTATCTGCTTTTCTTTGGCCGGGTGACCTTGGTCCTTTTCCAGATTTATTTGAATCATCTTCATTTCATCCCAATTTAATTCGTCCTCCACCAGAGCACGGCGCACATTGAGCCGGAGGATGTAGCTAAGCGGTTGATGGACTATGGCTTCCACGCACCCACCATGTCATGGCCCGTGCCCGGCACTCTTATGATCGAACCCACTGAGTCTGAGAGCAAGGTGAGCTGATGATGAGGACAGGAGGATGGTGAGGGGTAGTGTAAGGCTATAGGCTGATGGACTATGGCTTCCACGCACCCATGTCATGGCCTGTGTCGGCACTCTCATGATCGAACCCACCGAGTCCGAGAGCATGGTGAGCTAATGATGAAAGAAGGGCGAGGGTGCGAGGGTGCGAGGGACACATGCTGCCTGCTTCGTGCGCACCTTCCTTAATCAAGCATTCGTACTGGAATCGTGGGTTGGAAGCAGGAACATCAGCTCATGACGGTTTGTCTGTATATTCTGGTTTGATAAGGAAGGCACATTGTGACTGCAGGACATATGCACACTCGTGTTCCCATCCAACTACCTTCCTTCCATCACTCGTGTTATCCTTCCATTATTCCAGTTCCCCTTCCCCTTGTGTACTCATGTTCCCCTTTTCCACACTTACCATGCCTATCACCCACGTTTTTCAGGCCGAGCTGGACCGTTTCTGCGATGCGATGATTGCGATCCGGGAGGAGATCCGGGCCGTTGAGGAGGGGCGGGCCGACAAGGCCAACAACATGCTCAAGAATGCACCCCACCCTGCCTCTGTGGTGATTGCTGATGAGTGGACCAAGCCCTACCCACGCGAGCAAGCAGCCTTTCCTGCTCCATGGGTGCGAGCAGCCAAGTTCTGGCCCACTACAGGACGCATTGATAATGTCTATGGTGACCGTAACCTGGTGGCAGTCTTGCCCCCGGCGGATTCTGCATAAGGGTAGAGTTACGCTTATCCAGTTCTAAAACATTACGACCATTTTGTTGGTTCTTTCTAATTAGGCTATTTGAGTACAGAATAATCTTATTATGTGCACCCTTGGATGTGCCTGCTGGTAATCCCATATTTCCTTCTGTACCTAAGCATGTGTTCTCGTTAGTGTCAGCAGTGATGAAATTTTGGTACACCTAAACATCATTACCAGAGTTGCTAGTGAGAGCCGTTGCTGAAGCGAGACGTCGTTGGGTAAACGTGGTCCTGGTTTGGTGATCAGAGGTTCGGCAACCAATAGCGTGGGCCGTTGCTGCCACGGAAACTGGTCAAAGCAAAGGGGGTGTGAGATGAAGTGGGCAAATTTCACCTTGCCACACCAAAATCCCCAGCATGTTGCTAACTAGGATAAATCCGCCAATAGGGGAGCTTCGTTTCTTTACAAGGCGGGAAAAGTTCACGTCGTGCCTCTCCCTTCTACCTAGTTCTCCGAACCTCTGCGGCTCCGCACCTGTAGCGAGCCTTGTCCAAACCAGCACGTAGGTCCGTCATAGCGGCACACTCGGTACGTCCATCCTTGTCGCAGCAACGAAAGCCGGGGGCGAGGCTCTCCCTGCCGTGCCCTTGTTCCCTACACTCACTTCCGTGCCAGCATTTGGGGGATGTTAAGTACTAACCTCACCCAACCGCGATGATATGTGAATCAACCGTTATACAACACAAAACTTCCGCATCAAACGGCCTTCAAGTGATCATCCCTCCTCTTGTCCTCGGAGAGGCGAGGTTAGGCGAGGGGAGGGGAGCAGGCGAGATGTTTCATGTGGCTGTGAGCGTTTTGCACTGCTCTGCTTGCTGCTGCTGGTGTTACTGCAGCGGTGGTTTCCGCTGCAATCAAGCCGTCTATCCACTCCTAGCAACCTTAGGACTTAGCTCTGGGTTAGGGGTTTCAACTCGAGCAAGCTGGAAGCCTTTCGAACTAGCGCTTACGCGATCGTAGTGGTAACACCTAAGAAATACAAACCATTTGCGTTAGTTTTTTTCCGAGGGGTAGGCGTTTCTGCGGATTCCCTTAGGTTAGGTTTGCCACCTCGTTGGTCAACATGTTCTGGCGAGTAGCGGGCCTCGCTGCAACCTCACCGGTCAGTCCGTAGCCATTTTTCATGATCGCAGATTTAGCCTCGTGACTAGAAGGATCTGACGGGTGTGCAAGCTTATTTTCGTATTTCCAGGTTGACTTAATTCTTGACAGAGATCAGTATACCCTTGAGGAGTTACTGGACGAGGATGATCTTATTCAGGAATGCAAGTCTTTGAACAACCGGCTTGTAAACTTGTATGTATTATAATCGAGAACTTCCGCTAGTTGTGATGCGATTGCGCATCGTTTCTCACCGTAGGTTCCCCGGGATATGCCTGTTTTCAGCCTTAAAGGGAAGCCGCAAGTCGAGAAGATGATCCGATATGTGGTGGAATCACCTCCCGACGATGGAGATGCTAAGCGGACATTCAAGTATGCGCTGCGAAATTCGTTCTTAGCTTAAGTTGATATTTGTTGAGGGTACTCAGACGATTTTCTGATTTCTTTGCAGATTCCCGTTTATCTCGTGCGAAGTCTTTACATGCGACATTGATCAGATATTAACGACAGTGGTCGAGGAAGAAGAGGTATTTGGTGCTAAAATGTCGGATAAGTAGCAAATTGTTACCTACATCCATGGGGATGTAGCCTCTCGGTGAATAAGCGCTGAAGTTACCATTTTGATTCAATGCAGATTATGGATCTGCTTTTCTCCTTCACAAATCCAGATCGCCCGCACTCGAACCTTCTTGCAGGGTACTTCAGCAAGGTATGCTCATAAGCTTTATGGAGACCAACATCCCTTGAGAAATGTTATGTACTCTATGCGTTTGAATGCCATTGTCCTAACAAATCCTCTTTTTTTTTGTCAGGTGGCTGTCTCTCTTCTTATCCGAAAAACTCCTGAAGTGATGTCATACCTTCAGGTGCGTATTGTCTTTTTCTTTCCCCTGTTTTCGCCTCGCTTCTTTGGATTATTTAGTCGCTAATAAATGGCGTGCATGTCAACCTGAAACTATTACAGAGGCATCCAGAGGTTCTGGATAACCTGATTCGACTGATTGGGATCACTTCCGTAATGGAGGTACGTATTCGTATGGGAGATTATAAGCCGACGCAAGTTAACCATTTCGTACAGGAGAACGTGCAACATTCACTTTCTATGCTTATGTTGCGGATATTGGTATAACTGCGTGTGCATTGTGCAATGATCAGGTCGTGATGAAGCTTGTGGGAGCAGATGATCAGATCATGATGTATCATTCCGACAAACTGGAATGGCTGGCTGAGACGAGCCTACTGGACACATTGCTGTCCCAGCTTAGTGCTCAGGTAGCGTAGCAGCCAGTATCCCTCGCCGTTACGTTCACTGTTCTTCGCGAAATTATTTTCGTTCTACGGATTTCGAACATAGCGTGTTTTTCTCGTTGTGTCTCGCAGAGCTCCTCAGATGTTCATGCGAACGCGGCCGAGTGCCTGTCGGCCATCGCGAGAACGGCCCCATCCGCATTGGCCGCTCAGTTGTCAACCCCCAAGTGAGCATTCGCTTTTCTGTTGAAAACTCATATAAATTGATATCTGTCTGTTCTTAGGTACGTTGGAAATGTGTTATTTGTGAGTTCAGGTACATTGGGAAGTTTTTCGAGCATGTGCTGGAAGGCCCGAGATCGATGACATCCGTCATCAACTCTCTGTCCGTTTGCATCACGTTACTCGACCCAAAGCGTGCTCCGCCTCCTGGCGTCATGCGCAACCAGCTACAATATCAGCTGCAGACGCAGCAGTACCAGCAGCAGCAGCAAGTGATCTCCGTGGAGACCGTTGAAGGGATGGTTCAGCGACTGGGTAAGCAGCCAGAGCCTGATAGTCAATGTTGCATCCCGTGTCCTTTAGTGTTAATTCCAATGGCTGAGAAACCATTTTTTTGTGTTTCATTACCCTCACTCGTGTCTCGCACGTATATTTGTTATGGCCCTGTTTCAGGCGAGCTAATTGGCATTCTAGACCTTTCAAATGACGACAAGGTCCTCCCAACAACCTATGGAGAGCTACGGCCACCCCTTGGCATTCACCGTCTCAAGGTACAGGGACCAAAGCCAGCTTGAAGCGTGTTTTGTTTCCTCCTGCTGGTATTCCCTGCACGTCGTCTCCCGTATTCATGATTTCCTCACCTGCTTATTGCCTCGACAGATTGTGGAGTTCATTGGAGTGCTTCTTGGCACCAATAGCGAGCTTGTGCGCCAGGAGCTTGTGAGGCTAGGCGGCGTGCGCATCTGTTTGGATCTCTTTTTCAGGTGCAGATTTCTCCAGTTTGAAAAATTTCCCGTTTCCTTCTGTCCCCTAGTTTCTGTCATTCGCCCGCCTTGATTTCACCGTAATGTTTCCCACTTTTTTCTCACCATCCACTGAGTCCACCAACAACTTGGGTTTTGGTCTTCTTTCCCTGCCATTTGTTCTGCCTGGTGGCTGCTCATTTTTTATCTTCAGATTTCACTTCAACAACTTTTTGCACCACCACGTGGAGAGGATGGTGATGGCCATTCTGGAGAGCGGCAGCGCGTTGCTGCTGGAGCATCTCTTCGTGGAGTGTGATATCCTCAACCGAATCATGACCGCTTACAATGACCCCCATGCGCCAGATTCACGCCCAGAGGTACGTGTTACCGCCTCCTCCCTCCCACGTCAGCCTGCCGTTGTTGCTGCTCGCGTCTTCCTCCGGCTCCCTGGGCGCATGCGTCTCCCTTACTTCTTGTGCTCTTTTCTCTTACAAGTGTTGCCTTGCGTGTGTGTTGCTGGCTGCAGCCGCGAGCTGAGTCAGCGAGAGTGCCTGCACGGAGTGGGTACATGGGGCACCTGACGAGAATAGCCAATCGGATTTGCCAGTTGGCAGCGTCAAACTCTCAGATTGAGGCTCACGTTCAGGTATGTACTTTTGAGGATGTGAATGAAATCAGGGAGTTTTGAGAGGGAAGAGGGGTGTGTGTGAGGTGAAGGGGCAGGGGAGGAGATGTGAGGGGGAGAGGGGGGGGGGGGGTTGTGAGAGTAGCAGGTAATGTCTGTGAATTTGCAAAAAGCTTTAGGATAGTTTCTGACCCGTGAACTATGTCTTGCCCTTTCCTTCACGGCCTTGTCTGACGCCCCCCGTTTCTTCCAGGCGAATCCACGGTGGGCGGATTGGCAGAAGAACGTGCTCAGAAAACGGCTTCTGCTCGAGAATGTTTACCAGTGGTCTTGCGGGTACGTCTTCGTTTGCACCCCCACCCTCGTGCTCAGTCTCTCCCACTAACCAGAAGGTTCCATTGTTTCGTGGCTCCATTTGTCAGTTTTCCACTCTCAAGCGTAAATAATCAACAAGACGCTACTGCTGCCATCACATAATCCCTCTCCGCATGCCACCATCACCTCCTACCGATACCCCCCATACGTTCCCACCACAGCCAACCAGCAGCTGGCGACTGTTGAGGCGCCTCATAACTCATCACATACATGCTTGTCTTCCCCCATCGTCTCCTCCCTTCGTGTCCCACACGTCCCTGCCCGTTTGCCAGCCGGCCAGCAGCGTTGGACGACCAGCCAGGCGACAGTGACGACGACGAGTTCAACAGCCGCGACCGGGACTTTGGCATCTCCACCATCCCTTTGTTACACGCCCGTCTCCCCACACTGTATCCCACTGTACCCCACTGTACCCCACTGTATCCCCACTGTATCCCCACTGTACCCCACTGTACCCCACTGTATCCCACTGTATCCCATCTCTGTCGGTTTGGCAGGCGGCCAGCAGCGTTGGACGACCAGCCAGGCGACAGTGACGACGACGAGTTCAACAGCCGCGACCGGGACTTTGACATCTCCACCATCCCTTTCTTACTCGTCCGTCTCCCCCACTGTACCCCACTTTACCCCACTGTACCCCACTGTACCCCACTGTATCCCACCCATTCCCGTGTTTTCAGCCGGCCAGCAGCGCTGGACGATCGGCCAGGCGACAGTGACGACGACGAGTTCAACAGCCGCGACCGGGACTTTGACATCTCCACCATCTCGCTCACAGGGGGCTCGAACGCCAACAGGAGCTACCAATACGCCTATGGGCAGTCGCTGCTTGACTCAGACGACGTGGAAGAGGTATGATGTCGCCTCTCTTCCTTGCTTTCACATGAATCTGAGTCTGTAGAATGGACACCATGCTTTTACTATCCTCCTCTCGTCTTGCTTTTGCCTTATTCCTCCTCCCCTCCCTTCATCCCCCACCTTCACCCCCCACCCGCCCTTTCCCTCCGGCCCTTCCCCGTTGAGTCGTCAATCTGTCTTTCCCTGCCTTGCATTTCGCTGCTTTGTTACTTTTAGTGGTCCCCACTCTTATTCACCCTTGTTTTTCTCATCCCAGCCTGTGTCTTTTCTGTTGAAGCGCTGTCACTTGCTTGTTTGCCTGTTGCTTGCTTGATGGTCGCTGCTGCCCCTCCTCCCTCTCTCTCTCGCCGCGCTCTAGCTCTTGCTCCGATGTAGCACCACCTGCTGCTGCATCTGCCACGCAATGCAAGCCAGCCGCCGCAGCTTCAGTAACAGCACCCGCAGCAGCAGCTACTCATCCTTGTGCCAGGGGGTTGTGCTTGCTGTTGTGAACTGCATGTGGGGCTGTTACTCGCTCTGGTGTGGCGCGTCTCCGTTGCTCTCAGGGCCACGAGCTCAGGGATCCCGTAAGTGCTCCTCTCCACCTCTCCCCTCCCACTTTCCTTTCCCTATCTCCCTCCTCCCTTCTTTCACCTCTCTCCCCATCCCCCCCTTCCCTCCCCCTCCTCTACCCTTGCCCCCCTTCTTTCACCCTTACTTTTTGAAGCATTGTAGTTGCGCTCTACCTTCAGATTTAACACATCGCTGTGTTATGTACTATTTCTTCTGTGCTCGGGTGGTTCTCTATGCGTTGCCGCCATCAATTTCTTGCCTGTTCTCGTCTCAATAAACCAGCCGTGCTATTGTAGGAAACGATCTGTATTGTGAGCACAGTTGTTTGACATCCACAACTATCCGAATACGACTAACAGCATAGGACAGACCGTATGGATGGTTGCCATGGAAGCTGTTAAACACCAATTTATCCTTTTCTTGCCTTCTTGCAGTATGACGTGGACCTGGTCAAGGCGGAACAAGAAATCGAGACATTGGCCCTTTCCGAGAATGCACCCACAAGGTTAGTTTGTATGGCATGCAGTCTTTTTCACCCATATCAGTGCTCTTATGCATCATGTATTCTTCCATTCAGAAGGACTGTATGTGCTAGCTGTGGGAGTCATGCTCGTTTCCTTGCTCTTCACCTTTTTTTTAGGTAACTGTTTACTCAGCCTATAACTCACTGGGGCATCTATTCTCCTCTCCCTCTCATGCCCTCTACTGTGCGTGTCAGTGGGGCGTCTGAGCTGCTGCCCACGCCTGCAGCTGAGGAGCCGGACAAGCCTCTGTCCAGTGACAAGCCTGAGGGTGAAGAGGCTGCAGATGATGAGGAGGAGGAAGGCGCTGAGCAGACTGGCACTGATGAATCCGCTTTCAAGTGAGCATGCTGTGGCTTGTTCCGTCTGAACATTTATTCCAGTCTTTTTGGCTGATGTACTGGCGTTTTTGTGTGCTCACTGTGCATCAGTGTTGCGTATACACTGTTCTTTCTGTGACACTTGTTGTGCGAACTCGACTTCCCCCCCCACCCCCCCCCCCCCCCCATTCGCGCTCCCCCCTTTTCCTGGTCCTCGTGACGCCCATTCCTGCTTGTTACGTTAGAACCTCCACATCGCATTTTCTTTCATCATTCATTTTCTACTGGTCTATATACCCTTCGTGTTTTGCCTGCCATTCAATTCGTTTCTCCCCCTGTGCTTATCCAGGCCGTTGCTGCTTGACGGTCCCAGCAGCCTGTTCACATCATCAGAGGCAGCGCAAACTGCATGGGTGGCGTTCCAAGAGGAGCAACAGCAGATGGCAGCAGCGGGTGATGGTGGAGAGGGTAGTGCAGTAATAACTGAAGTGGCAGCTCAAGGGGCAGTTGAAGGGGCAGCTGCAGGGGAAAGTGAAGTGTCAGTGGCATCTGCTACAGCTGAAGATGCAGCATCTGAAGTTACAAGAAGCAGTGAAAGTTCTGGTGCTGTTGCTGTCACTGAAACGGATGTTGCTGCGACAAGCACTGATGAATCTTCAGTGGTTGTTGCAGCAGAAAGCATTGAGGAGTCAGGCAGTACTGGTACTGATCTTGCAGCAGCAATCACTCAAGAATCGAGTGTAGAGTCAGGAAGCACCCAGCAGGTTGTGGACGCTTTTGAGAGTTCACCCTTTGTCGCAGCTTCCACGGCAGAGGCAACAACAGAAGGAACTGCCGCAGCGCAATCTGACAATGCTCCTGGTATCCAATCAGATGCAACAGCTCCACTGACAGAGGTTTCAACAGACACCATGACTGACACCACTTCAGGTGAAACCACAGATGAGTCTCCGGCCACCGACACAATGACGACAGAACCTCCCGCTGCACTCTCGGCTGGTGAGGCAGTCTTGGGGACAGTGGAAAGCTCAATTGAAGGGGAAATCAGGGGTGCAGAGGAAACAGGTGGAGCAGTAGGGCAGCAAGACCCCCAGGGAGGTAACAGTGAAGGGCAATCAGGGTCAGTAACTGATACACTAGCAGGGGCTGGAGCTGCTGCTGCTGCTGCAGCTGCTGCAGCTGTAGCATCGCCATCATCAGAGGTGCAAGCAGAGTCAGCAGGTGATGCGGCTAGTGAATCAGCTCAATGAAGCTGTTGGGAGTCAAACCTCAAAACGTGGAGTAACTCTAAATTCTTCACCGTTCCATCCATCAGGCACTGCTTGCTATCAGCCATTCTAATAGCATAGTTTTTGGCCAACTAAAACCACCAATTGCATTCCCCATTCGTGCTATTGCCGTGTTGTCAACTGCTGGATTGCGTATCCCAGCGAAACCACGATGCTAGTAAACACGGTCGAGCAGACAGAAGGCAAGATGGAATAGTAGGTAGGCTGAACGCGGTAACTTTGATACGCTTTGGTGCAGCTAAGATTTGTATGACACCCCATGTGAAAGTTACATTGGTGGCTGTGTGTGTGGGTTACATTACATTGACACCCCAGCTGAGATTCTTCACATAGGTATTCTGTTGTGTGCACACAATCTTACTATTCATTTTAACGCAGGAGCAATTGTCAAACTCTCTCATTCTGTAGCTGTTTCCATAAATGAACAATATCCTGTCCTGGGACAATTGAACCTTCCAACACTCTGAGCAAAGAGAACATCAAATGAAGAAAACAGACGTGAGTCTGAAATAAAATTCTGTACGTCTGAATACAGCAAACAATGAAAAGAATGGTACTGCTCTGAATTGCACAGAGCAGGAAGTCTGTACATGCACTATGTGCCACAAACCAGGAAGGCACCCATGCATACATTGATACATAGCATCTAGCATTTTTTTAAAAGTCAGAATTCTCTTGTAGATTCATTGGTTGGCTTCGGAAGGGCATGTGATCTGCATACTAGCCTCAACAGATCCTTCAACTTTGATGCATTTAGCTGCAAGCAAGCAATTTCCATCTCAACCAGTATGCATTAGACAACGGAAAAGCTAAAGCGAAGAAGAAAATATATAGAACGAGAGAGAAAAACTTACAGGTTTGCTCATGTATGAATCCATCCCTGCATCGATGCACTTCATTCCATCTCCAATCAGAGCTTGTGCAGTCATCTGTAGGCAGCGCACGGGCTGATTAGCTTGTGCTATGCTGACAGATCAGCATTGGACAAAACACCATCTGCAAGCATTACAGCGATGATTGGAGTGTGGTGATTCTTTGTAGACTCATAATCCCGTATCCTCTTGGTTGCCTGCAGTCCATCACAAACTGGCATTTGGACCTGAATGTGCACGGCAGAGGGATGGACAGAAAATAAGTCACTGTCACTGAGTCCAAGGTTGTGAGGAACGTGTAAGGGAGAAACACAAGGTTGTTAGACTCACATCCATTAGTATCACATCAAAGTCCTCCATCTGAACCTTCTTCACAGCTTCTTCACCATTACTGGCCAGAACTGCTTCATGCCCCCACTTGCGCAGAAGAGTCAACGCAACCCGTTGGTTCACAATGTTATCTTCTGCAACCAAGACCTTTAAGGTCTTGTCACTTGCAGCTGCTGCAGCCACCTCATCCGAAGTAGCTGAGTTTGTGGTGGACAGCCGATCCTACAGAACCAACAGCATCTCAATTAGACTTCACTCACCTTAGAACACAAATACCTCCAGAATACAGAAGAGAACATTGTAAGGTCCTTACATTGAGAGGGAGATTCTGTGCCTGCTCGACCCTTCGAACAAGCACTTTCCGCTTCAGAGGCTTGGGAGCATAGAACTTTACACCAAGATCCTGGCACCTGTTCAAGCAGTAAAAATTAGTGACCAAGGTGGCATCAAACCATGTAAGGCAAAAAGGCCTTGCTTACTTACAGCGACTTGTCATCGGTACCCCCAGGTGTCAACAACACAACAGGAAGATCTTCATCACTTCTGGATGCCTGCGGGCAGTCAGGTAAACTGGAAGAAGACTGTGCCTGGCTGCTTTCCTGGATCTGCATCACTTCATGGCTAATCTCCCCATCCACTAAGCAAGCCCCTGAAGTTGATTGCTGCCGATTCGTCGAGTGAGGCACGTCTGAATCTGGCGTGGGTGACCCGGGGTGCTCAGCAAGGTCCTCAATGTCTAGCACAGCACTGTTTCTGTTACCTCCTTTGATAAATCGACACCCAGACTTGTCCAAATGAAGCAGACCCTGCTCTTTGATGCGCTGAAGCAGCCATTTGCAGTTGATCTGAGAGGACCTTGAGCTGATGTCCCCATCGCCAATTTTGGAATCAACAATCAGCAGGGTGTAAGGTAACTCGTCATACACTGCTCTTTGAAGCCTTTCCACGGCAGAGATCGCATCAGCAGCTTCGTCCGCCTTCACATCCATTTTCTGCACAAATAGTAACAATAACAATAATAAAAAAACGATAACCTCCTCATAAATGGCACACTGGCAGAATGATCAGTACTATTGGTCCAAAGACAGTATGTTGGCTGTAGTAACACTGGATAAACCCTACCTCAAGAGTCGAAACAATAGACTTCCTGGTCGATTCATTCTCATCCACAACCAAGAAACGCAGATGGTTAAATTTCGGGCACAAACAACCGCATGGAATCAGCTTTGGCGATGGGACAATCTTGGCTGGTATGGAGAACTTGGGGGTAAAAAAGAAAGTTGATCCTTGGCCTTCTTCGCTTTCAACCCACATATGGCCGCCCATGGCGTTGGCCAGGCGCGATGAAATCATCAACCCCAGACCCGTCCCTCCATACAGCCTGTAACACCGCAACGAGATTTTTAAGCGATGAACAAGAATGGCAAATGTTGGAAATGAAGGTCTCAGAGTGACCCCTGTTCACCTTGCGTCTGATGCATGGACCTGACTGAATGCTTGAAACAGAAGTGACTGTTTCGCCTGAGGAATGCCGATCCCTGGTAGACAAGGTTAGCATGATGGTTACTATTTGGGACAATGGGTGCCCGTGGACACCAAAAGCAAAGAAAACATTACGAACCTGTGTCTTTAACTGCAAAAATAATCTCCGCCACATGATCACTAGCAGAGACCAGAGTTGCTGACAGCGAAACCTCTCCTTTGTCAGTAAACTTGATACCATTTCCTGCAAAAACATCACTGCCCACAATGTAAAAATCTCCATCAGTGAAAAATTGTAAGAGTTGAACGCTGTCATTGCTTACCCAAGAGATTGATGAAGATCTGAAGAAGCCGTCCAGGGTCACCCAAAAGTACTTCAGGCATATCTGAGGACTTCAGCCATGATACAAGTGTAAGCCCTTTCTTCCTTGCCCTAGTTGCAAGGACTGATACGGCATGTTCCATCTGTGAAGTAAAATGTAGAACAAACTAAAATCAAGAACAACTCAGGTTCAGCAGAGGCATGCATCTAAAAGAAAGTAATTACCTGGTCTTCTAAGGAGAACTCGATATTTTCCAGATCCATCTTTCCAGCCTCAATCTTGCTGAAATCCAAGATGTCAGCAATCAGGCGCAGAAGGTGCTTCGCAGAATACAAAGACTGCACCACATGGAAAAAGAAAGAGCAGTATTCCAGATTTATCAAAATTGAATAGTTAGCAAAAGCCTTGCTAAGCTTGGAAAACGCTTACCAGCTCAAGATACTCGACCTGCTCCGTGCCAAGAGGAGTATCCAAACAAAGCTCTGTGCAATTGATAATCCCATTCAGGGGTGTTCTGATTTCATGCGACATATTTGCCAAAAACTCTGATTTAGCCTTGTCTGCTGAGACCGCCTGCTCCTTTGCATCCTGAAGCTGTAACTCAATCCTCTTCCACTCCTCCACCTCAGCAGACAAACCCTCGTTCAGCAGTGCAAGATCCCGAGTCCGCTCCACAACCTGATGCAAAAAAGCTTCTCAAGTTGAAAAACTATAGCACAATTTCGGACAGGAAGGAAAAATAAGTCTCACCTTTTGTTCTAGAGTTGAGTAGGAAGAGGAGATCTGATCAGCCATGTAGTTAAAGACACAGCAAAGCTCATCAATCTCATCCTTCAAGCAGCCTCGTCGACCATGGGCTCTTGCGCTGTAATCACCCCGTGCAAGGTTGCTGGCGGCATCACCAAGATCCATGATTGGATGGGAGAAATACTGCAAACCAGCAGGATTAAGCATCAGCATCATCAGACAATTGTTCTACGCAGGATAAACACTACATAACTCAGCAAACATAGTGGCGCCGTCATACCTTCGCCAGTAAAAATGCTGCCAGAATTCCCAGAACAAAAATGCAAGACATTGAAATGAGAATTATTTTTTCGAGCTTCTTCGTGGATGAGTATGCTTCTGATTTGTCGACTGTGCCTGCCAGACCTGCAAAGCCGCGTGAATGTCGTGGAAGAAAGAAAGGAATAAGAACGAGAATTTGCGGAACACAAAGAGAAAGGGTGCAACCGTGAGGCCTAGGAGAATGCAAGCCTAGAGAGAATGGTAGGAATAAGAAATGGATGAGGTAATGAAGAACCATAGCGTACCCCATTTATCATAACCAACGGGTCGGTAGGAAGCTATGACTTGAACTCCACGAAAGTCAAGCCCTTCAAAATAGCCAACCTGGCCTTCTGCTGCCATAAATGCAACTCCCTTGTATGTAGTGTTCATCATAGAAGGAGCCTTTACAGGAGGAATTATGAAGTTGACAAGATTTTCGTTCTCAGTAAGATAGGCAACAATAAGCTGTCCTGTGGATTGAAGCCCAGTTTCATCTTGCACAATCTGCTTGAACTTCTTGGCGTCGACTTTAGCCACGATTATCCCGCAAAAGACCTCCTGAACGCAAACAGAATGAAAAAACAATGTAAGGACAAGACTTTTTGCCAAAAGTGACAGATGAAAACGAGATAAAACAAAAAGGGCAAATCAATCTGTGCACCTGGTGGTAGACGGGAGCTGCAACATCGATGAGCAACGTATGATTGTACCCATACGGAGTTCCCGACCACACTGATGTGTTTCGGTTCCTGACGCTCAGAGCCCGTCCATGCAAGCGATTGGGCAATGGCTTCACATCAGCTGGATGCGTGCTGGAGAACAACAGTTCGCCGTCATCGCTGTAAGCTCCTAAGGTCATGACATTAGCTGCACTCATTACGGCAGAGTTAAGATCCTCGGTGCCCTCTTTGTTGTCACTCTTTGTGAGATTCGCACCCCCTTGCATGTGCTTCAGAAGCAGCGACGAAATGACGACACGAGAAGCGATCAGTTTCACGGTGTCTTGATTTCCCGTAATGTAACTGAGTATCTGCCAGATACCAGCACGAACAACATTCCAATAGTGAACACCAGTTGGAGCGAGCGTAAGCTTCGGAAACCAGTCAGCCATGGAGGTGTACCTGTTCTTGCCGAAGGCTCGCAACGATGTTGAGCCTTTCCCGCATTTCTTCCGTCAAAGTTGCCTTCGACAGCCTCCAGAGGACAATAGCGGGAACCCCCGAACAAATCAGCACCAGAGCACCCACGAAAAAGGTCAGCTTCACCCAAATCTTCGGCTGGAACCTACGCCGTGGCACCCGAGGTGGACTTTGAGCCACACCATCTGCACGAAAGGTAAACAAACGCATCAAGTGAGCATCGGAACAGAGTTATCGCGCGCAAAGGACAGGTAACGAAAAGCCAGTCGCACTGACTATGGTGAATCTCAACCGATGTAGAGTCCTCAGGACGCATCGTGCGATCGTAAGCTTGGCACCAAACGATCCTTCCCTGCTATATCCTTCAAGGCGAGATTGACCTGGTTAGTCTTGCTAAGCGCACCAGGGATAGAGCTTCCTATCCGACGAAGCCACACTCGCGAAAGAAGAAATACGGGCCGTCGCATGCGCAATAGAAATAGGTAACAGGGGCTACTTAGACCACAATTTACTGGAAGCGACCTCGGAGCAGCCTTCAGGATTTGCAAGACAGAAAGAAAGGGCTTCATGGTGCTCAGGTCGTCAACAGCGAATCTTGGTTCCTCGCTATGGTTCTGGATCTGCAGGGACATCGAAGCTTGAAACGTGATGGCTACGCAACAAACATCACCAGATTTTCTTTCCAGGGGACGCCTCAAAAGCAAGGACGGCAACTGACGACTCTTCGCAAAACGGCTGCAAATCCTATTGTGTTCTGGTCTGAGCAGTAGACTAGGTTTCTCGAACATAATGCAGGCTTCAGTGGCGACGGTTGAGGTCAGCTATGCGAACGGATGGCTCCACTAGATTGCTCTACAATCCCTAATCATTGCCTTGCCTCCTGCAGCACCTGCAACAACTCTCGACGGGTGCTTCTATGGCGGCTGTCGCTGTACGCGTTCTACGGCTATGCACGTGACAGGAGACAGCTTGTCAAAGCAAAATCGACATGCATATTGCTTGGTCGAGGTGGATTTCACAGGGAATTGCTCGAATCTGAAATTCAGGGCGGAATTCTTGACAGCAGATCCGTTTCGGATGGGGCAGCGACATATGTCTGGAAGGGTCAGCCTGACCCTGGATGCGCAGTCCAGCCCCAAGGGTCAACATTGTTTCGCTATATGCAAATGATTAGCAGAATAGAAAAGGTGCAATTGTTCAGCATTTGTCCACTTTGGTAGACCCAACTGATGCATTGAATTGGTGAATACCGGAACAAAAAATGCGACAGTCAAGGGGCACGTCTTGCTTCAGAGTAAACCTTGTCTCATCATATTATGCCTACGCCTCTAAGAACATTCTTGTGCTACGGTATTTGCCAGTTTTTTTCAGACAAGCTGGACCTCAGTAACTTCCATCCAATCCAATTTATTGTACTTCAGAGCATGCAATAACTGCCCCTCCTTTTCTCTCATTCTAAGGAAGGTTCGCATTGCTTCTTGGATTTCAAGCCTCTTGGGGCAATCGTTTAGGGCAGCCAAGTCACTAGCCCTCAAGCGTTCCGCATCAAGTACTCATCTACATTCGCCTTAATGGCGCTCAAAGCACCTTCCGAAGTGAACTTAATTCGGTCATCCTTCACTGTAATCAGCGCCTTAGCCTGAAACGCATTCGCGTATGCGTTAGGGTTGCAAAATACCTCAATGAAAACATCCCCGTTATTGACGTCTCCCTTATGGCGATACTCCATCGTGGTCCATCTCTGTGGCCGGGTGGCCTTCTCCTTCTCCCGGAAGATTTGCAGGAGGTTGGATATGGCGGCGTCGAGAGCCTTGGCTTTTTCCACGGAGAAAGGGATGGAGAGACTCGTTTCACCGATCTGAAATGATATGGGTGCTTCTGTTGGAGTGGGAAGGGGTTGATACGTGGTAATTGGGGATGGAGGGAAATGTTTCTTTACGCCGAGCAAATTAAGGAATAATCTTCATTCAAGTGATTTCCGCATGAAAATGTGAGAATGTATACAAAATGCGGCAGGCTTCGTACGGAAAAGATGGATGTGAGAGACGTTTGGCTCTTAACTTCCTTGTCTTCAGAACATATTGCCTCCTATCGAAACGCCAAAATCATTCAGCGATAGAGATTCATGTTTCGATCTATTACGTTCTGAGAATCACGTTGCTCCAGAATCTCCCGGTTCTCGAGACACTAATAACTTGAGCTCGTCAGCCAAAAGTAGCTGTCCATGAAGCAAACAACTTTTGCGTCTTTGTGTGCAATAGCTTTCGAGTACTTCCTCAGTACAGCCGAAACACCAAACAATGCTCACCTTCGGCGGTCGCTTGGGAACGAATAACAGCGCGTCGAGCCGCAGGTCTGAAGGAAAGGCCACGCGACTGCCTCCCAATGGTGAAACTGCATCGCCCGACGGAGGCCCGCGACACGTTAATCGAGCTGGAAGCGGGAGAGACTAACTGCAGCGAATTCTTGCTTGTGCTGGTCGCTGCGCAAGATAGGGATGCACAACGCGGTAAGGGAGTGGCGACTGCCTGTGCCATCGCACACCAGCAGTTGTTCCTGAACTTCCGAATCGGGTGCAAGATATCCCGTTCTCCAGGCTGGTGCAAAGAGCACTAGGTGAGCAAGTACTGAGAATTGAGCGATTCATTGGGCGTAAATGGGTTGGCTGTGCATGATGAATGGGAGTGGGTGGGTGTGGGTTGCTTGCGAAAAATGCTCCATTTTGGTTTGACGAGCCGCATGCTGACGGGGATCGATGGCGCCACAAGCGAAACCCTCATGATCCCGACAGAAGAAATGAACGGATGACGCGTGGAATGCACTGATCCGGGTGGAGTGAACGAGTCAGCACGACTCACGTGGCGTTCGTTAAAGGGAACTCCGATAGTATGATCCTCGCGTTGTAGAAATCTCCTACATTGCATACTTCTCAGCTCGTTAAAACTTGCACTAAGAAATGAAGTGATGTACATTCTGCATTGAAGACATCAAAACTATCAGGTGCTCCTGACCAGGCCCTTGAATCCATATGTTCCAATAAGAAACCAACCAACCAAAAGAGCTGAAAATCCTAACCAAAACATAACAAACGTGAGCCCTGCCGAATAGATCCCAAGAACCATCACTATCACGAAAGGTGCAAATGCCCCTACCATTGCTCTGTTACTGACCCATTTACCATGTCGAAACATAAGCGCAGCAAGCTCCACCACATTCCAAGTTGCACTTCCGTTGTAAGCCATCCGGTTGAGGCAGCAAGCCACAAAAGAATGGCAGTTAGAGGTGAAAATGTTGTAGAAAGCATGCTGATATGTCCGTACGGTTGCTGCTAAAGCCTGGTCCCAGCTTTGAGATGTGCCATAGTCTGCATGGAAAAAGGGCATGCTGCAGATGTGCCCTGACAAGTTGGATGGCAGACATGCCTGGAAGGGGGGCATGCAAAGCAGAGGGAAGGTGGAGATTGATGCAATGCAGAGGGAAAAAAAGAAAGATATCACGCAGAGCGGAGGCGGGAAAGGATGGAATGAAGAGGGGAGGGGAAGGATGCAATGAAGGGAAGGAGGGTAAGGATGCAATGCAGTAGGAAAGAGGAGAAGGATACAATGAAGAGGGAAGGAAAAGAAAGACGGAACACTGATTGAAGGAGGGGAAGGATACAATGAAGAGGGAAGGAAAAGAATGATGGAACACAGATGGAAGGCGGGGAAGGAGGGAATGCAAAGGGAAAACGGGGGAAGTTGGAAACAGATGGAATGCAGAGCGACGGTGAGGAGGGAATGAACACAGGGGGAACGGAATGCAGAAGTGAGAGATGGAACGGATGGAACGAAGCAGGGGTAATAAGGTAATTCAAGCTGTGTGAAAATAATAGAGACTCTGCGTAGGCTTTAACAGGAGGAGACGCCAAGATTGGCTAAAGCAGGAGGAGAGAGAGTGAGGCCAGACTAGAGGGTACTAGGGCCCAATCTTGCTTGTGAGCAAAGGCACGCACACTGGAGAGACTAGAAAGTGGAATGGGAAGGGAGTATTGGACGAGCCAGTACCTTAGCTGGGTCTAGTTGGAGGTATCGCGAAGCAGCTCCGAATGCGAAGTTGTCTACGCAGACGAAAAAAGACCCTGCGAAGTCCAGAATGGTTCCGTCCTCCCGGCAAATCCCCAAGTGACCGATGAACGGCACGAGCCACGCGATCACTGGCAACGGCGTCCACACCAGGCAGCGAGAAAACAAGTCTATCCACGTACCTTTGCGGGGTCTAACTGGAGGTATCGCGAAGCAGCTCCAAACGCGAAGTTGTCCACGCAGACGAAGTAAGACCCTGCGAAGTCCAGAATGGTGCCGTCCTCCCGGCAAATCCCTAAGTGGCCAATGAACGGTACGAGCCACGCGATCACGGGAAGAGGAGTCCAGACCAGGCAGCAGGGAAATTTACCCGCGCTAGGGTTCACAGGAGGGAGATCGACCCGATCGACCAAGTAGCGATCGGCAGTAGCGGCATCTGGGTTTGCAATAGAGTCAGATCCTGTAGATGTGCTACTAGTTTTCTTGCTGCTGAATCTATGGTTTTTGTTATCGCTGACTCCGTTATGGTGATCAGAGTAAGGTTCTGGATGTTGGGAATAAGTGTCTGAGTAGCTTATGGACAGAGCCGTATGCTCGTTAGAGGAGTCAGGAAGGTCAGAAGGCAGCATGTCGTGGGTGCGGCTGGTGGCTTCCGTTGGTCTCTTCATTCTAATCCCGCTCTACGGCTGGAGCGATCAGAACTGGTGACGAATTTCCCGAGGACTTTACTGGTATAATTTTGGTATTCTAATGTATCAGCCACGCATAAGCCGTCACGAAATTAAGAACCGCGGGATAGTTCTGAAAGGAGTGTGATGCGATGCGACGCGACATTTGGGCAAAATGCTCTGTTTTAGTAGGTATTTCATGTCAGACCGATCCCACAAACGCTGCCTCGATACTACTTTCTCGTGCACGTAGTGCATTGGTTGTATTGGTTGAACTGACTGCTTTCCACAAAGGGTGTTACAAGGGGGCAGTGTGACTGCACTGGTCGTTATCTGGAGAAACCATCCCAGTGACTCTTGTAACGAATGTCTGTCATGGCTCAGCCAAACCCAGCTACAAGCCAACCTCACTACTATAACAGAAACTCGTTTTTACAGAATTTGCACCCTCGATTGAGTGTCACTCGTTCCCTCTTGCCGAGCGAATCGCGTGTGTTGTGGTGTGCTGTACTTGCTGCTGATTGGCGAATGGCTCGTGCGCGCTTGTTGCTACTCTCGCGTCTCCCCACAACGCTTTTTGCTAAGTGGGTTTCCTACGTTTTTCGTCGGTCCCCCACGATTTAGAACGGCGAACAGCGGTCAACGGGGCACACCCTACGCATCAGACCGAACCGCTTTCAAACGTACTATACACCTATTACGGTGAGCAAAAGCACGAACAAGGTCATATCCACTACTTTCCATCCTTACCTTCGACTTACCTCTTCCCATTCGTTCCCAATCCCTGATGCAGTACCCACAACACCAGTACATGCGTTCTGTAGAAGAGATATACGTGGTTCGCCGCTTTTGAGTTTCAATCTATTAATACTCAGCCTCTCGAGAGTAATCCATCGCTCCTGCTGGGGAAAACAAAATGGGCGCTACTCACCCTAACGAGTCGCCGATCCCGTCGCCGCATCGCCACGAGTCGCAGAAGCGACGTGCGAATCCGTACATCGTCGCAGGCGCGTTGCTAGTCGTCGCATTCCTGGCCGTCCAGTATAAATCGTCGCAATCATGCGACGCGGAGCTGCAGCTTCAGCGACAGGCTCCCGACGACACACCCAACCGTCTATCCTCGTTACAGCCATACTACGCTAAGGCGCAAAGCGAGCTCGATTCGGAGCTGTGCCGAGCGGAAGCGGCGTACGCGGCGAATAAGGCGCGTCGCGTGGCGTCGTTTCGCGGTCTCCTGCAGCCGGCCGTGCTGTCCGTTGCTGATATGCTGACTAAGGCCATCGCTCCCATGTACCCCTGCCCGCGCGAGCAACGGCTGGGCGTGTGGGGGGAAGGCGGAAAGGTGAGACGAAGAGGATGTGTAGGAGATGGAAAGGGTGTTGGAAGTGTGGGGGACGGGATTGCCCCCCACGCTAAGACCCCCCTTGACTCGGACCAAGGGGGGGTGTTTTCACGGAAGGTTGGGGTGACGGCGGATTGTCCGCGTCGCCACGCAACCAAAGTTCACCCGGTTGGGTCCGAAACTTTGTGGGGGCTACACTTGGCAGCCCCACAAGCTCTCACGAAAATAGCGAGAGTTCTAGCGAAGGTTTTGAACCATTCGCTACACTCGCTACCACTTCGTGTAACACACGCATTTGGTGTGTTGAAATGAACTCGGCAAGGTCCGAACATGTGAGCGCGGAGGTCGCGGAAATTCGACGTCCCAAGTCCAAATTTCCGCGAGTCGCGCGCGGTTCGATGTTACAATTGAGATTGCATGTTTTAGATATAAATTCCAGAGAGGAAACAGAGAGTTCATGCCTTCCAAGACTTGTGTACCCATCTCCATATTATAAGCAAGTTCTCTCTCAATTCTCGGGCGTTTTCAGTGATTCAAAGTGCTACTGCTTCGTTGCTCCGAGCCCGTCGTATCGATCCTAGGCTCTGCCTCTAGCTCGCCAAGTTAATTCTGTGGCGCTAGCTAAACAGAGGCGGATTCTTTCAAAGGGTGGCATGGAGCCAGCCGGCCGTGCTGTCGTTTGCTGATATGCTGACTAAGGCCATCGCTCCCATGTACCCCTGCCCTCGCGAGCAACGGCTGGGCGCGTGGGGGGAAGGCGGAAAGGTGAGACGAAGAGAATGTGTAGGAGATGGAAATGAGGGGAAGTAGTGAGGGAGATGGGAGAATGTGAATTAGGGAATGAAGGATGGGGCACGGGAGGGGGGGGAAGTGCAGGAAATCAGCCTGCTGTGCTGTCCGTTGCTGATATGCTGACTAAAGCTATCGCCCCATGTATCCCTGCCCCCGCGAACAACGGCTGGGCGTGTGGGGGGAAGGCCGAAAGGTGAGACGAAGAGAATGTGTAGGAGACGGGAAGGGGTGGCATGGAAGCTGCCTGCCGTGCTGTCCGTTGCTGATATGCTGACTAAGGCCATCGCTCCCATGTACCCCTGCCCTCGCGAACAGCGGCTGGGCGTGTGGGGGGAAGGCGGAAAGGTGAGAAATGCGGGGGCGGAAGATGGGAAGGGGAAAGGGTAAGGCACTGGGGAAGGTGGAAGAGGAGTGGAAGGAAATGGGGGGCGAGAGGCGCAAAAGGGGGGCAAGAGGCGCGAGAGGGTGCGAGACTGGGCAAAGGGGAAAAGAAATGGTAGAGGATGGGGTAGTGATGGGTGGGGAGGAAAGGGAAGCAGCCTGCCGTGCCGTCAGTTCCTTCTATGCTCACTACGGCTTTGCTCCCATGCACCCCTGTGTGATGAGACGATTTTTTAGTCAACTCAATAATCGTTCCTGCTATGCTCACTATGGCTATTGCTCCCATGTACCCCTGCCCTCTCTCTCCTCCCTCGCCGCCCACTGTCTTTTGTCCCCTTTCTACTCCCAATTCTCATTCCCACTTCCCATTCCCCGTTCCCTTCCGCATGGTCTTCATTTCCTTCCTACCCTCCCCCTCCCCTCACCCTCTTGTTCTGCGGCAGTGGGTGTGCATGCTGCCAACTGCCTTTCAAACCAAACCCGTTGTGTACAGGTGCGCGGGGGTGGGAGAGAAGGGGGATGGGTGGGTGGGGGGAGAGTGGTGTTCGGGTGGGTAAGGGAAGGAGGGGTGTCCGCGTCTCTCCCCACTTCATCAGGCTCTGCGGCAGTGGGTGTGCATGCTGCCAACTGCCTTTCAAACCAAACCCGTTGTGTACAGGTGCGTGGGGGTGGGAGAGAAGGGGGATGGGTGGGTAAGGGGAGAGGGGTGTTCGTGTCTCTCCCCACTCTTCCGCGGCGGGTGTGCATGCTGCCGACTGTACAGGTTTTGAGGCGCCTCAAAACTAGACTTCTCTCACGCGGTTTTTTGAGGCGCCTCAAAACTAGTCTCCCCACTCTTCCGCGGTGGGTGTGCATGATGCTGCCGACTGTACAGGTGCGTGGGAACGTGGGGTGTTCGTGTCTCTCCCCACTCAAATCAAACCCGTTGTGTTCAGGTGCGTGGGGACCGGGGAGAAGAGGGAGAGGGGGGTTTTGGGAGTGGAAGATGCTGACGTGTCAGTGGGTGGGTGGTGGGTCAAGGAGGAGTGTCGAACGTGTCTCCCCCTTCCCCAACAATCATGCTCTGTGCCAGTGGGTCTGCCTTCTGCCTTCTGCCTTCTGCCTTCTGCCTTCTGCCGTCCAATCCAAACCTGTAGTGTACAGGTGTGTGGGGGTGGCGGAGTGGGTGGGTATTTACTGTCTGTGGGTGGGTATTTACTGTCTGTGGGTGGGTATTTACTGTCTGTGGGTGGGTATTTACTGTCTGTGGGTGGGTATTTACTGTCTGTGGGTGGGTATTTACTGTCTGTGGGTGGGTATTTACTGTCTGTGGGTGGGTATTTACTGTCTGTGGGTGGGTATTTACTGTCTGTGGGTGGGTATTTACTGTCTGTGGGTGGGTATTTACTGTCTGTGGGTGGGTATTTACTGTCTGTGGGTGGGTATTTACTGTCTGTGGGTGGGTATTTACTGTCTGTGGGTGGGTATTTACTGTCTGTGGGTGGGTATTTACTGTCTGTGGGTGGGTATTTACTGTCTGTGGGTGGGTATTTACTGTCTGTGGGTGGGTATTTACTGTCTGTGGGTGGGTATTTACTGTCTGTGGGTGGGTATTTACTGTCTGTGGGTGTGTATTTACTGTCTGTGGGTGGGTATTTACTGTCTGTGGGTGTGTATTTACTGTCTGTGGGTGTGTATTTACTGTCTGTGGGTGTGTATTTACTGTCTGTGGGTGGGTATTTACTGTCTGTGGGTGGGTATTTACTGTCTGTGGGTGGGTATTTACTGTCTGTGGGTGGGTATTTACTGTCTGTGGGTGGGTATTTACTGTCTGTGGGTGGGTATTTACTGTCTGTGGGTGGGTATTTACTGTCTGTGGGTGGGTATTTACTGTCTGTGGGTGGGTATTTACTGTCTGTGGGTGGGTATTTACTGTCTGTGGGTGGGTATTTACTGTCTGTGGGTGGGTATTTACTGTCTGTGGGTGGGTATTTACTGTCTGTGGGTGGGTATTTACTGTCTGTGGGTGGGTATTTACTGTCTGTGGGTGGGTATTTACTGTCTGTGGGTGGGTATTTACTGTCTGTGGGTGGGTATTTACTGTCTGTGGGTGGGTATTTACTGTCTGTGGGTGGGTATTTACTGTCTGTGGGTGGGTATTTACTGTCTGTGGGTGGGTATTTACTGTCTGTGGGTGGGTATTTACTGTCTGTGGGTGGGTATTTACTGTCTGTGGGTGGGTATTTACTGTCTGTGGGTGGGTATTTACTGTCTGTGGGTGGGTATTTACTGTCTGTGGGTGTGTATTTACTGTCTGTGGGTGTGTATTTACTGTCTGTGGGTGGGTATTTACTGTCTGTGGGTGGGTATTTACTGTCTGTGGGTGTGTATTTACTGTCTGTGGGTGGGTATTTACTGTCTGTGGGTGTGTATTTACTGTCTGTGGGTGGGTATTTACTGTCTGTGGGTGTGTATTTACTGTCTGTGGGTGGGTATTTACTGTCTGTGGGTGGGTATTTACTGTCTGTGGGTGGGTATTTACTGTCTGTGGGTGGGTATTTACTGTCTGTGGGTGTGTATTTACTGTCTGTGGGTGGGTATTTACTGTCTGTGGGTGTGTATTTACTGTCTGTGGGTGGGTATTTACTGTCTGTGGGTGGGTATTTACTGTCTGTGGGTGGGTATTTACTGTCTGTGGGTGGGTATTTACTGTCTGTGGGTGGGTATTTACTGTCTGTGGGTGGGTATTTACTGTCTGTGGGTGGGTATTTACTGTCTGTGGGTGGGTATTTACTGTCTGTGGGTGGGTATTTACTGTCTGTGGGTGGGTATTTACTGTCTGTGGGTGGGTATTTACTGTCTGTGGGTGGGTATTTACTGTCTGTGGGTGGGTATTTACTGTCTGTGGGTGGGTATTTACTGTCTGTGGGTGGGTATTTACTGTCTGTGGGTGGGTATTTACTGTCTGTGGGTGGGTATTTACTGTCTGTGGGTGGGTATTTACTGTCTGTGGGTGGGTATTTACTGTCTGTGGGTGGGTATTTACTGTCTGTGGGTGGGTATTTACTGTCTGTGGGTGGGTATTTACTGTCTGTGGGTGTGTATTTACTGTCTGTGGGTGGGTATTTACTGTCTGTGGGTGTGTATTTACTGTCTGTGGGTGTGTATTTACTGTCTGTGGGTGTGTATTTACTGTCTGTGGGTGGGTATTTACTGTCTGTGGGTGGGTATTTACTGTCTGTGGGTGGGTATTTACTGTCTGTGGGTGTGTATTTACTGTCTGTGGGTGGGTATTTACTGTCTGTGGGTGGGTATTTACTGTCTGTGGGTGGGTATTTACTGTCTGTGGGTGGGTATTTACTGTCTGTGGGTGGGTATTTACTGTCTGTGGGTGGGTATTTACTGTCTGTGGGTGGGTATTTACTGTCTGTGGGTGGGTATTTACTGTCTGTGGGTGGGTATTTACTGTCTGTGGGTGGGTATTTACTGTCTGTGGGTGGGTATTTACTGTCTGTGGGTGTGTATTTACTGTCTGTGGGTGTGTATTTACTGTCTGTGGGTGTGTATTTACTGTCTGTGGGTGTGTATTTACTGTCTGTGGGTGGGTATTTACTGTCTGTGGGTGGGTATTTACTGTCTGTGGGTGGGTATTTACTGTCTGTGGGTGTGTATTTACTGTCTGTGGGTGGGTATTTACTGTCTGTGGGTGTGTATTTACTGTCTGTGGGTGGGTATTTACTGTCTGTGGGTGGGTATTTACTGTCTGTGGGTGGGTATTTACTGTCTGTGGGTGGGTATTTACTGTCTGTGGGTGGGTATTTACTGTCTGTGGGTGGGTATTTACTGTCTGTGGGTGGGTATTTACTGTCTGTGGGTGGGTATTTACTGTCTGTGGGTGGGTATTTACTGTCTGTGGGTGGGTATTTACTGTCTGTGGGTGGGTATTTACTGTCTGTGGGTGGGTATTTACTGTCTGTGGGTGGGTATTTACTGTCTGTGGGTGGGTATTTACTGTCTGTGGGTGGGTATTTACTGTCTGTGGGTGGGTATTTACTGTCTGTGGGTGGGTATTTACTGTCTGTGGGTGGGTATTTACTGTCTGTGGGTGTGTATTTACTGTCTGTGGGTGTGTATTTACTGTCTGTGGGTGTGTATTTACTGTCTGTGGGTGGGTATTTACTGTCTGTGGGTGGGTATTTACTGTCTGTGGGTGGGTATTTACTGTCTGTGGGTGGGTATTTACTGTCTGTGGGTGTGTATTTACTGTCTGTGGGTGGGTATTTACTGTCTGTGGGTGGGTATTTACTGTCTGTGGGTGGGTATTTACTGTCTGTGGGTGGGTATTTACTGTCTGTGGGTGGGTATTTACTGTCTGTGGGTGGGTATTTACTGTCTGTGGGTGGGTATTTACTGTCTGTGGGTGGGTATTTACTGTCTGTGGGTGGGTATTTACTGTCTGTGGGTGGGTATTTACTGTCTGTGGGTGGGTATTTACTGTCTGTGGGTGGGTATTTACTGTCTGTGGGTGGGTATTTACTGTCTGTGGGTGGGTATTTACTGTCTGTGGGTGGGTATTTACTGTCTGTGGGTGGGTATTTACTGTCTGTGGGTGGGTATTTACTGTCTGTGGGTGGGTATTTACTGTCTGTGGGTGGGTATTTACTGTCTGTGGGTGGGTATTTACTGTCTGTGGGTGGGTATTTACTGTCTGTGGGTGGGTATTTACTGTCTGTGGGTGGGTATTTACTGTCTGTGGGTGGGTATTTACTGTCTGTGGGTGGGTATTTACTGTCTGTGGGTGGGTATTTACTGTCTGTGGGTGGGTATTTACTGTCTGTGGGTGTGTATTTACTGTCTGTGGGTGTGTATTTACTGTCTGTGGGTGTGTATTTACTGTCTGTGGGTGTGTATTTACTGTCTGTGGGTGTGTATTTACTGTCTGTGGGTGTGTATTTACTGTCTGTGGGTGTGTATTTACTGTCTGTGGGTGGGTATTTACTGTCTGTGGGTGTGTATTTACTGTCTGTGGGTGGGTATTTACTGTCTGTGGGTGGGTATTTACTGTCTGTGGGTGGGTATTTACTGTCTGTGGGTGGGTATTTACTGTCTGTGGGTGGGTATTTACTGTCTGTGGGTGTGTATTTACTGTCTGTGGGTGGGTATTTACTGTCTGTGGGTGGGTATTTACTGTCTGTGGGTGTGTATTTACTGTCTGTGGGTGTGTATTTACTGTCTGTGGGTGTGTATTTACTGTCTGTGGGTGGGTATTTACTGTCTGTGGGTGGGTATTTACTGTCTGTGGGTGGGTATTTACTGTCTGTGGGTGGGTATTTACTGTCTGTGGGTGGGTATTTACTGTCTGTGGGTGGGTATTTACTGTCTGTGGGTGGGTATTTACTGTCTGTGGGTGTGTATTTACTGTCTGTGGGTGTGTATTTACTGTCTGTGGGTGTGTATTTACTGTCTGTGGGTGTGTATTTACTGTCTGTGGGTGGGTATTTACTGTCTGTGGGT